GCAACTATTTGTTCAGGTGTTATTTTACTCCATTGAAAAGTAGATTGACACTTTGTTTGAGCATGCAGATATTCATCAGCTGAACGGCCCACAGGCTTAATTTTACTACCCAAATCTTTTACTGAGTCAATAAAAAAATCATTCAAGTCATTGGGATTCAGTGGAATGTCCTGTGTTTTTGTAGGAGCACTTTCAAGAGAAATGATATCCCACGCTACTTTACATTTATTAGGGGCTAATTCAATGTATTTTTCGCAAGCACTTTTCTTTGCAATAGATAATTTCCTTCTATACAGCTTTTTGCATTGAAGGTAAGCAGTGTAACCATTGTTGGCAAGCTCAGACCCACACCTAGTCAAGTTTTTGTACACCGTATTCAATGTAAGCATCCTTTCTCTGATTTCATTTAACTCACAAGTGTACCAACTTATTTTGTTTTTGCCTTTGACATTCCTAGAACATTTTTTTACAAGCGGAGAACATTCATACCATAGACTAACATATTTAGTAAAAAATGACGTAAAAATATCAAAAATATTAGAATCTTTGAGATAACTATCAGTAATAAAATTAAAGTCTAATTGCTCCAAATTATTTACAAACATCTCTACAAATTCTTCTTTATGCTGTCTAATGAATACATAATTTCCTTTATCTTTGGGCTTAGTGGCTGTAGGAACATGAAAGTACTTAAAAATTAATGGATCATGATCAGCAAAACAACCTGGTACAACTTCTGTAGAGTAACTATCACTTGAAAAATTAACAATTACATTATCAAGGCAAGCATTTAAGCGTGTAGGCAATTTATTAGAGCAGACCAAATTTAGTGACCTTAGAATATTTTTAAAAACAATAACCTCATGCAAATTCAAGCTGTTAAAATCAATATTAAAATCACCACAAATTGCAAGTTTTGACTTATATTTCTGCAGACTTATCACAACCGCTTCAAAGTTTTCAAAAAAGACATTTACATCACCATTAGGAGATCTATATAAACTAATAACTATTAAATCAATATTATCTAATCTTATGCAGCTAAATTCACAATGTAGTTCCAGACAAAATTTACTAAGATCAATTTTTAAGAAATTCAAACCATTACGTACAAAAATCCCTGCTCCTCCATTTTTTCTCTGCTTTCTACACATTAAATCAGCAGCAATATAACCTTTAGGAGTAAAAATATCAATTAAATTTTCAGTGAGCCAATGTTCAGAGACACAAATAACATCAATATCATGACTATTACTAAAATGCTCAAGCTCTAAAACCTTATTGCGAATACATTGAATATTGACCTGTAATATTTTAAAGGTGTGAACTTCATTGTCACTCTGTGTTGATTTGCTCAGACTTTTGTTAGTTACTTTACTATTGAAACAACTGTTTTTTTCCGTAAAAAATATCTAGATTCATTGGACTGCTCAGATTTACTACTACATGTCTTGATATTTTTGTTTTCAAGTTTGGATATAACTTCTAGCAAAGGATTTGTTTCACTTATTTTAGGGGTGCTAAATCCTGAAAATGGTACATTGTCACTTACAGAAGAAGAATTGAGATCACATGGGCTGTCACAATGCATTGATGAGTTTAATGGAGTTGAAGGAGTGACCGTCTCTAGACAAGGTTCAGCTGTTCCTTGGGTCCTTGGAGCATCTGTTTGGAGAGGTTCCGTTGTTCCCTGGGTCCTTGGAGCATCTGTTTGGAGAAGTTCCGTTGTTCCCTGGGTCCTTGGAGCATCTTTTTGCTTCTCACTCAGTGATGGAGATGCGGGTGTTGGCATTTTGTGTTGAATGTTGATCCGAGTATCACTGGGTGGCAACATAGGATTCGACTGTTGGGGAGTATAGTTTAGGTCTTCATGATCCCCTTGATGGTTTCTGATAATTCTGACAACTGCATTGGAGATGGTCTTTTTTCCCTTTTTATTAAAATGTAACCCGTGTCTTGTGTGGTAACGTCTTTCAAGGGTCCATAGGTCAAGAAGCTTAATGTGTTGCTGGTTGTACGTTATTTGCCTGATGGTAGAATTAGCCTCCTTGATTAGCTTATTTTCCATGCTAGATGCACTCAGATCATATCGGTAAGGTAGCGTAGATAGGATGAGGTTGGTATGTTTGAGTGAAGTTTGCATTTCCTTTAGGCTCTCTTCCAACAATTGCAAAAACGGTGCTGGATTTGCTGCAGATTGCTTTGTAACGTTATTTGTCCCTCCAATCAAGATAGCAAAGTCATTAGTAGTTAATTTTTTTACCATCGCTGATTGTCTGATGGGCTCAGTTATAAACTCTAATGGAGCTCCAGGCTGGCAATGGTTTGTAATATTGTAACTGCTGTCACTTGCTTGATCCAGGAAGTAAGCCAAATCTTTCCCGTGACTGTCACTTGTAATCATAATTCTCTTTTGGTTGTCTGGCTGCTTTTTGGGAGCATTTATTGAGCTGTTTTTTTTGGGATTCTTATTAAGCGGCTTAGTAGAACTGTTATGGGACACATGTAAAGTACTAGGTATATTCAAAGTTTCTTTGTTGCTCTCCTCTTCATTTATTTTGTCCAGGACTTCAAACCTATTTTTTGTTCTTATTGTCCAACTAGCGAGTTTATGGACATTTTTTCCTTTGTTGTGTCTAATTTTCTTCTGATGAACAAAATTTTTTCTATTACATGGGATAGTTTGTTTACTGTTGATATAAGGTGCCGGCTTAAGCTGTTTACTAGAAGCTTCCTCACTATTTTTCTTGATAGCCAGTGTTCTTGCGTACCAATCTTCAAAGGGAATGTTTGATCCGGTGCCTGCACAGTAATGATACGCTACATATTTAGCATTTGCCAACACATGTATTCCGCATTCAAATGATTGTTTCTGTTGCACACTAGGCATTTCCATGAAACTATTTTTGTCAATACCTAAATTATTGGCCACATTTTGAGCTGGGTAATTATTTACTGGGCTCAAAGAGTCAAGATGATAAGCCTTACTATTGGTCTTGTCTAAGAATAACAAGCTCCAATGGGAGCCAGAGTCATCGTTTTCACAGTCAGTGCTATTACTGACGCATAGAAATGCATATTTACATGTGTGGTAGGAGGTTAATTGAAGACTCTCCAATACTGTCTCTGGGGAACCAAATTTGATTAAAGAAGTAGCAGATGGGCCTAAAAATAAAATTTCTTTGTTTTCCATATTACTTTCCATAGCAGAGAAATAATCATTTAGGACAGAATCGTCGGTCCATTTGTCTTTACCCCAGCTTTTGCTTTGTATGCTTACTAACTCATTAGTTAATGACTGCAGCTTATATTCAAGCTTTGCTTGATTTGAGTTTTTTTCATTAATTTGTTTTTCTAATGAGTCATTAAGGGCTTTAAGCTTAGACATACTTTGAACCAAAGTTTTGTTTTCCTCCAGAATTAGGTTATGTCTATCTATGTTAGACCTAAGCTTCTCCTTTGTCTCATTAATTTGTTTCATCATAGTAATCTTTTCCTCCCTTTCCATTTCTTGATGGTGAAAAGATCTGTCTAAGTCTTGTTCTCTATGTTTTTTCTCCAAGATTAATTTTGACTCCAGAATTGCAGACTCTCGTAGAGATGAATTAAGTCTATTTTTACTTTCCTCACTGTCCAAAAGGACATTGTCAAAGTGTTTGATAAGCAATTCAAGTTTAGAGACAAGATTATCTATGTGTAGTTCCGGGATGTTAGTTTTAATCAGGTTTAATTCTAGACAGATGTCGGCTATATACTCCTGCATAAAGCCCTGTGAGCCACAAGACTCAAACACAATTTCCTCTAGTTTTCTCATTAAGCAGATTTATATTCTTCTGTTCCCAATACAAATATTTTGTTTTTATTCCCTTTTATTTGTATAAAGGAGGGCCAATAATATATTTATTCTTGGCTCAATGTAAGTAACAAAAGGTCATGTACAGAATAGGCCAGGACTAATTGAAATTATGTATTCAGTTGATTTAGTGGTAAAAATAACCACAGAATATTTAGCACACAACTAGGATTCTGATAAATAGCAAATAAACAGCAATAATTGAGTTAGTAAACAAACAGACTGATAAGAGATAAGTAAGGTACCAGTTTGTCCTTGGCCAAGGCCAAGTTTAGTCACCTTGCCGGGTCCTGATTCCAGTAGATATATATTCTTCATATATTATATTCAGTTATGTTTAGATTATGTGCAGTATTTACATTCTTCATATATACAACATCATTTGTGTAAAATGCAGGTAATATTATTGTGGAAATTTTCTTGCAGGTTATGAATAAAATATTGATAATCTTTTAATAAAATGATTCAATAAAAATGAATACTTATTTGATAGTTTTGTAAAGAAACATTGCTTCTTTCATTCACAAAACACTATTTTGCTTAAATTATCTTAATTTCATATAAGATTAACTGTAAATGAGGACTGGTAAAACTCAGTGTTGAATCAAGTTAACCTCAAAAAACCTCATATGAATAAAAAAAAAACCTCATATGAAAAAACCTCATGTATCATATTGAAGCCCATGATTTTCCAAACAAAATGGTATATAGAATAGTATAATGACCATTGTTTTCAAGCTTCTCAGATCCGTTTTAATAAAACCTTGCAAATGAGCAAAAAATAGGCTGACATTAAGGCCAAAACAAGGGACACTCGGAGGGTTAAACTAATGTATCTTTATACTTTTTGATTTTGAATTTGTGATGTTCAAATTTTTTCTCGGTTTCCAACTTTAAAGAATTTACAGTTTGGATTATTATCTTTTTTCTTCTATGAAGCCTACACCTACATACCAGGAGTTGTTTATTGCAAGATGAATGAAAAATGAGTTTAGAATGAACGTTTTATAATCAAGGCTAGCTGATTGTTTATATGCAACGATGCAACACTGAATTCATCATCTTTATTCTTTACATTTATTTTTTCAACACTGATAAATTATTTTTAGAATTATTATTGTGTTTTAATATTAAATTTCATTTGTAGAATGTTGGAGTCTCAAGAAGTCATACTTAGTGAAGAGCTGTTGAATAAAAACTACTGTTCAAAGATCCTTTCTTACGTAAACAAAAATGCTCAACTCAAAGAAAGGATTGCTGGGTTAGGATCAACAGCACAGGTAATTTTTCACAAGCAATTGAATATTATTTAAGATATCAATTAATGACACTAACTAGATTTCATGATGTTAGCCTCCGAATCACTTTAGTTAATTAATAAATTGTTTAAATACCTTAACTGTCATGTGATCCTTGAAGTAGTATTACACTACTGCAGTTTCAGCCCTCAGAGGGCTTTCTTCAGGTGTCAACGGAAGTCAAGAGTTGTCATTCATACGAATGAATGACGAATAAATGTGACAAATTCGTATGAATGACAACTTTTTACATCCTTTGACACCTGAAGAAAGCCCTCTGAGAGCTGAAACTGCAGTAGTGTAATACTACTCCAAGGTTCACCTGACAGTTAAGGTATTTAAACCATTTATTATAGGCTTATCCAACTCGACCTACTAACCTAATCTAACCTAATCTAGTTACGAAACTAACTAGATGTTAAATAGTAACAAGGGTTTGGATTATTCCATTATGAAAAATGCCAATGACACAGAAATATTTTTTTCCATCCCTGATTCAAGAACTTGAAATCACATATTAGATAACCTTTGTTGTTGTTGCCTGTGTTCTTAAATGATTCAAATACCATCATCCACAAAAAAACCTCCTACCGTGACTCCGCCATGTGTTCACCGTCTCGTTGTTTGATCAACCCGACCTCGATACTAGTGTCCGTGCTTGTGTCTATCTTTCTATCTTTTAATGGTAAGAAAATAACTTAAGGAGAGCCTCTGAAGATACCACACTAGGTGGCGAAATGCAGAGGGTGACACTAACATCTTACCTTGTATCGGGTCTATTTGGTTAGGGGGTAATTTCTTAAGGTATTGTAACCTGGCTAAACTATTAAGAAGGCCTCAGTTTACCTGGTGTTGGAAGAGGGAATCAGTATTTTTATTGGTTGATAAAAACAGAAGATTACCGCAGAACGACCTTTTAAAGTTAAATAGCTAGACTTTGGGCTGTTGAAACCCTAGTCGCGACACTAACGTAGCCTTCGTAACCATAACCTCAAAACCGTAACATAACCTCGAAACGTAACCGAGGTGACAGATGCATCGACAGACGATCCAGGTAGAGAGGAAATAAAACTGCCTTCTTTCCTGCCGGTTTTACTTCTCCCTTTTTTTTCGCTAAAGCTCCGCCTGCTTCGGTTTTACTTCTTAGTCGCTTCCGTTGTTCTTCTTACGACTTCCCTCAAGCATCAAACCTCTTTTTTTTGCCTTTTTTGGTAACCTCTGGCCAATCAGAGGTGGGTATGATGTCGACCGCGCGATCGTGACCCAGGAAGAAGGAGGTCGGCCATTCTGACTGTGACCCTGTTCGAGTTCAGAGCTTTTCGTTAACTTCAAGTTCGTGTTCGCGAGTGTCTCTGCTCTGGGAGTTCATTTCGTCGTAGTTATTCGCTCACAGTTTTGGTTACCCAAGATTCAAATATTTATCTGCCAGCTTAAGTTAGCAAACATTTGCCGAAACTTTGCCTGACTATCAGACCTAGTCCTACGTTATTTAACCAAATAAATTAAGTGGGGAAATTGAAGTTGGTGACTCTTGTTTTAATCTAAGGTTTTAAATCTCTATTGGGACTTTCTTTTTAATTCTTAAATCTTTTTAAAGTTAGTGAGACGTCCCTAAGTTTGTCCCAGCAGACAGGTTTCTGGGTGCCTAGTTTGGCAAAAGTTTGCTTAAGTTGCCCACGTGAGGAAGTGCAAGTTTTAGTTTTGTTTTTAAGTCCAAGCAGCAGTTTTATTTTTTGTTTCTCACAGGCAACTTAAGCCAACTTACTTTTAGTTAACTCAGACTCTGTGGGAATTAGGCTAGGCCTATTCTAAGCTAACCCTTGTTTGTTGCAGGTTCTGTCGTTTAACCCTGTAAGTAAGCAGGGTGAACTACTTAGTTTATTGCTTGTTTAATTAAGTAGTTAGTAGCATTTCAAGTAGTTATTACCCACAGATTCACGTCCAAATTTATCGGTTCTCCACAGACTCCCCTGACTAGAGCGGTGATTTTAAGGGTGGTGTCTGGTGACACTTAATTGTTGTTCTGAGCTCTAAATAACCGAGGCTATCCTAATCACTATCAACTCCTGGGAAAATCCCCGCAACCCGGCTCGTTCGATTCCTGGGACTTCGTCGATCGTTTAAGGTGGTGGAATTTCCTGCGTTGCTATACGAGTTTTTGCCAGCAGGAAATTTAAGTTACAACCTACTCAAGAAAACAGGCACCAAAAAGAAAGATATTCTCATATAACACTAAAATAACAAATATTTAATGTTGATCTCTATTGTATAAACTTGTAATAATCCAGTCTTGTCCTGTACTTGAAATGAACACAGATATGCAAATTGTGTTTTGTTGAATTTTCTACTTCATTAGCACACCCTAGAATTGATTTATTGACTGAAAGGGAGGAATGACTTTGGGTCCATGCACGTCAACTATATCACCCTAGAACTTCCTAAAGATTCCTTTCAGATATCTTCAGATGAAAGATAAATGTTTTTTTATCTGACATAGTTACCACAAAAAATCTATAGATTATGACATTGACCGCCAAAGCCTAGGCTAAAACTTTTTCCCTTTTCTAGTCTTCGAATCATTGATAAATCTTAGCTCTCATTTGATGATTCAACATCTACCTTGTTCTGTCCAGGTAGTTATCCTGGAGAGTATAGAACGTCCTGGAGAGCTCATGGTTGTGGGAAACACGCACCTTTACTTCCATCCTGACTCCGACCACATCAGACTACTACAGGGAGGCATCTTGCTAGCCTTCCTAGAGGATAAAGTCACCTACGCCAGGACCAAGGTGGCTTAATACTTTCACCAAACAGTGACATATCCTGGGTTTTGAAGAGTTACTAAATAAACTTTTAGAAGAAGGATATAGTTCAAAAGTTCAGCTAGCTTACCTGAAACATTACAGTCCGGGGCTAGTAGATACACAATAATCACAAAACAACACTATGCGCTTGTAAAAAAAGGACTGTTAAATTGATTAGTAAATATATATACCAATCAATTAGTATTCTCAGTAAATTTCTATGTACAATATAATTTACAGATAGAGTAAGGTAAATATGGAGCAAAGTAAAGATTTTATAATTTTATATATTCTGGTTATTCAACATTTGAAAGTGATTTTTTTCTGAATCTGTTTCTGTTATCTTGGTAGTGGCATTGATTGGAAATAATTTTAAGCAAGTAAAGATGTAAGGAATATGTTGTTAAGCATAAGAAACAAATGTTTAACCTAAGAAATATTTTTAGCTCCATGGAAAACAAGTTTCACTTGTTTGTTGCGGCGACTTCAACAGTGTTCCATCTTGTGGCATTTACAAACTCATGACAACAAAATCAGTCCCTCCAGACTTCATTGATTGGAAAAGCAGTGAGTGTAGAATAAGCCTTAGAATTAGAGTTAGGAACCATAAAAATATGTTTATAAAGAAATCACATAAAATTATGATATTCTTCAGCCTTTATATACACCCATTTAGGATTACATTGAAGCAGTTATTTACACAAATTCTGTATATGCGTTAGGGGTCTATTTCGTCAAAAAATAATTTTTTGGCCTAGCTCAGGCTGGGTAATTTTACATTCGAGTACTAGGTACGTTCACAATATCACTGGGACCGCAGGAGACGCCTTGATATCACTGTGACTAGGGGACGTTCTTGTTTTAGCCGCAAATCAATTAAAGTACTATAACAGTTAATATTTAAAAAATATAAATTTTCCAAAGCAATCCTGACTGATCCGATTTTGGCCTGATACTTGAAATTCAAAATTTTTAACCCAATTTAAAGAAATAATGTTCTGACACGCAGACCCTAGTTCCACATCAAACTATGGTATAATGCTGTTGAACTTCTGTTTGCCAGAGCCTGAAGAGGAGGTGCAAGGTCTAAGTTTGTCACAGCCGTTCAACATGCAGAGTGCCTGTGGAACACCCAAGTATACAAACTTCACTGCAGCCTTCGCCGACTGTCTAGACTACATATACTACCAAACAGACAGACTGTCCGTGGAATCTGTAAGTTACTGTTATATTGAGCTGAATTAATATCAAGTAGAAAAGGTATTGTATGTTTAATCCAATAGCAGAAACTATAAAATGTTTCCAGATAATATCTACTAGTATAACACTTTCTTTTATAAAGATTATGTGTTCTTCACTCACTTTTATTTTGACACTTTCACCATACTAAGGTGTTTTGAGCTATTGCGGAATGTTATTTGGTGACAAAGATATCATCATGACATGATGCTCTCTTGACCCTCAACTTATTCAATAGGCTAGGCTCCAACTTACAACCATACATGTTACTTGTGCATTGTTAAAATTCACTAGTAACTTCCTACAAGTTTTGCTGACTATCATTGCCATAACTACTACTATTTGCTTACTGATGGGGCTGGTCTAGTGGTAGAGCATGGGACTTTGGTTCCGGATTTAAATCCCGCCAATCTAAGTTATAATGCAACCCCTAGGCCTAGCTTAAAGTAATTTGAAAAATGGGCTAGAGCCTTGACTCCTAGGACAGTAAAATAGTATATTTCATTACTAGTAAAAAGTAACGTAAAAAGTAAGTTAGTAGTAAAGTGACTCTTTTTGACCCGAGGTTAAGGCTCAAGGAAAATGAGCGAGGGTTAAAAATCGCTTTTTGCCCGTGTGGTGAGCTCAATTTTTTGTCATATTGCATAATTCATTAACAAACAAAGCTAGAAAACGAAATAATTTATATGTAAAGATAACATCTCAAAGCGACTTCCAGCTTGTTTTCAGTTCTGCTAATGCAGCTGTTTAGTAAGTGATACAATCATTTTGTCTATTACCATTGTGTTACAGTACATTATACCATCGATATGTCGAGCAATCACCAACAATAGGTTAAGACCTTACCTAATAAATCAATCGATAAATAATTTTGATCGATACGATTGCCACAACCGAAATTTACAACTGTTTACAACAGCTGATTTTTACTCCCAAGAGACTAAAAATGATTTTTACTCCCTAGAGAGTAAAAATGCTACTTTAGACCTGCAACACATGAATAAAAAATGGCTGTTTTTGCTGCAGTATGACAAAAAAATATTTGCTAACTTTGAAATATTGAACTATTAGTATGTTGTTTTTGATTGTTGACAAACAGATTTTTGCAATTAATTGGTCATATTTTCACTAACTATACAAATTAAATTTATTACTGTATTTAGTGTTTTCTTACCTTGGGCAAAATGTTTTTACAAGCTCAACTATATTTCAAACCTAAAACTCAATCCCGAGTCAACAGAACGTAATGCCCAACAACTTTACTTAGACATTATCAGTTGACATGTTTTCTGATATTGCCCCATGATGTTTGCAGGTGATCCCGCTACCATCTGATGAGGAGTTGACACAACACACGGCCATTCCCAGTGTCGTGTTTCCTTCTGATCATGTAGCACTGGTAGCAGATCTGAGGTGGAAAGTTTAACATCAATAAATCAACTTTATTCTTTTGGTTTTTCTCAATTTTGTTGTCATCCTCGTTTCCTTCATTAGCTATGTTTAGATGTCTAGCTTTTTGAAAAAATAAATTTTTACCCCCTTCATAAATCATGTCATTTGAATTTTTTTTATTAGTACAAAACTAATAGTTATTTTTAGAGAGGTAGGTTTCCCAGTTACAATTTTGGAGATAATAAAATCTATCGATAAATTGATAATAAAAGCCAGTTTCCCAGTAATCTATCGATAAATTGATAATAAAAGCCAGGTCCTTACCTGCTGCTGCGAGCTTTTAATGATTATAGCCCTTTACATCCATACAGTTGTGATGTACACACTTAACATGGACCCCAGAAGCTTTTCACTTCTATAACACCGGAAGAGCTACTGACTTCAGTCTAACAGTCCACCATACAACGCAACTCGCCCAATCCCCCCCCCCCCCAAAAAACCCTCCTACATTGGGTTCTTCCTTGCTCGTTACAAGTAGATTTCTGGCACAACATACTAGAGTAGAAAATATACGGTCGTCCCATAAGCAAGTTTCCTCCGTACCTTGCGTCTCTGTGTTATAAAGTACTATTTAAAGATTGGGAGCAGATTAGGTAGTTCATAATTTTAAAACTCTTAATAAACTCAATACAACTATTTATTTTTTACCAAAATTTATAAAAATACTACACAACAGTAAGTAAAACATATTTACATTTTAACATTATGTCCATATTTTTTAACTATATACAATATGTAAATAAATATAGGCTAATACTAAATTATTCATATAGGATGCTTGAAAATGTCATTTTCAATTTAAAATTACATATGCACTTACATCTAAGGTTATTTGTTTTAAATTACCACATGAGGCACTAAAATGAGCAATATGTTCTCGAGGGAATTATTGTCATGGCAAAAACAAAATAGGCCTACATTTAAACCAAAATACTAAAATAGTCAATTATAGGATACTTGAAAATATCATTTTCAATTTAAAATTACATATGTGCACTAAATACATCTAGGGTTATTTGTTTTAAATTACTACATCAGGCACAAAAATTAGCAATTTGTTCTTGAAGTAATTATTGTCATGGCAAAACAATATAGGCCTACATGTAAAACATTTCAATCAAAATTGTAATTGTATAAATTACCTAACTTTGAATAAATCAGCCAAGCATTAAAATAAGGTAGTAACTTGATAGAATTAGTCAAACTAGTAACGCAAACATAAACAAGTTTTAAACATGAGCCTAAAATTGGCACAAATAGATTAAAATACCACTCAATCAAATTGGAACTTAACTGATTCGATGTTAAAATATTTTCAAAAGTGTTGACGGGATAAGTACCAGTACGCGCAACGTTTCATCAGCAACGATCACTCTTCCCATCTTCTTCAAGATTCACCCTCGCCTTTTTCAGAATGCTGTGTGTCTTATGCAGTTGTCGACAAATCGCTCTCTCTACCTTCACCTTGTGTTGGTTGGCAGCACTGAGCTGTGCCTCGTACTGCCGTTTGTGTTGGTTGGCAGCAGTGAGTTGAGCCAAGGTCTCCTCTAGAGCGTGTCGTGTTTTCTGCAGGTTTAGACGAAGTTGCGTGTTCTCTTCCTCCAACTTCATCAGATCCTTTACAGGGGTACCACCTGGGAAAATACCGAGATGAGAAATTGGCAAGAGCGAAATGAATAACGAAGATTATCAAAAGTTTAGGACAAGATATATCACAAACTGTTTAGTATTGACCATAATTTGTTATATTGATCAAATCCAATAAAACTTAATAGGGTAAATATTTACCCCGTGAAAGCGTTAAGCGCTGGAATTCTAGGGTTAACGACTTACGTATTGACACAGTGGTAGTCTTGTGGGTCTCCAGACTAGAGAAACGTCCGTGGTCACTCTCTATTCCGAGGTCCGGGGAGGTACTGGGGTGTGAGTGGGGGGAGACTGGGTACCACAGGCCTCGAACTTGACTCTGTAAACATTACATTGTTTAAACACAAGGTAGACTAGTACATCTGAGATTAGTCTCATGAGAAAAGAGCACTTGGATAAGGAATAAGGAACAGGCACACGGCCAAACGAATCTAAGAGGAAGTCCAGGAAGTTTATGGTCATAAAAATTATCATGACACATTTAACTTGTAACATGTAACATCAATATCAATAAAAATTATTGCACTTGCGATTATGATTAATTAAATCCGTTATGTAAGGAAAAATGTTTTTAATCTTACTTGGTTTGGATTAGCTTTCAAAACGTGATCGGAAATGGTTGCGGTGTTTGTAACAATATTCAATGTAAACATATCAGTGACAGCTAGAAGAAATAATCTTGATTCGAACAGCTGTTTGTTATTTCATAGATGAATATGTGATAAACATTGGGAAAACTTTACAAAAAATCGCACAAAATTGGGTTTTTAAACGTACGTTATTTTATTTACAAAGTAGTGACGCCATATTTTAATGGCTAAAGACAATCTCGCCAATCCAGTGAATACATTAAAATGATTTGGAACTTGATAGGTAAAATGGCTCTTGGGCCTTGACAGACAGGAAGACTGACAGACAGACAGAAATTTAGATGAGACTTGTTTCGGTTTCTTTAATGTATAAAACGTAAAAATATCCTAAAAGTTTATGATTCTGAGCAATGTACAGACAAAACTCTAATTTTATTTGCATAGATATTACATGCATGGCCTCGCCAAGTTTACAAAACTTGTCGGCAAGGACCAATAGATTAAAAAAATTTAAGGTTTACAGTATTTATTGTTTTCTTTAGTTTTTTTTCTAAGTACAAAAAAATTATGGTAGGCCTACTAGTTCTAAGGAGGTTTGTGGCAGGCACTTATTTATTAGTCATGGGCAATAACTACATTGTAGGCATTGGTTTCCGTGTAAGCGTGCCTTTAATATTTTACCCTATGTATATGACTGTGCATGTAAATGTATGAGATTTTAAAAGCAGGTGGCTTTTGTCTAGCAGAAAGAATCCACAAACTAATACTCAAGGTCTGGAGAGAAGAAACAATACCCAAGGAATGGAAGGAAGCCCTAGTTGTACCAATTCACAAAAAAGGAGACAAAAAAGACTGCAATAACTACAGAGGCATATCTCTCCTAAATGTCACCTACAAAATACTTTCCAAAATAGTTCAGAGAAGACTAGAGGAATACACAACAGATATTGTTGGAGAGCATCAAGCAGGATTCAGCAGAGGCAGATCAACGACGGATCAAATCTACATTCTTAAAGAGTCAATAGCAAAGTATTATGAATTCAACAAATCATTCTGTTGCCTCTTCATTGATTTTTCAAAGGCTTATGACTCCATAAATAGGAAGAAGTTGTGGATAAACATGGAGCATCTAGGTATACCAAGAAAACTTATAGAACTAGCAAAATTGAGTGTTTTAGGTTCTAAGTGCAAAGTTAGAGTAAATGGAGACGTATCGGAAGACTTTGAGGTGAACACGGGTGTGAGGCAGGGAGACGGGGTATCTCCATTGCTGTTCAATTTAGCCATAGAAACAGCTCTTCAGGAGATAAGAAAAACAGAAGTAGGGATTAAGATAGGAACAAACATAAACTTGCTAGCTTTTGCAGATGACATAGTATTAATTACACATAATATAGAAGAAATGAAAGATGTAACAAAAATGCTTATTGAACATACAAGAAAAATGGGGCTATACATAAATGAAGAGAAAACCAAGTTTATGACATGTGGAAGAAAACAAGATGATGACCAACCAAGATACCAAAATAACAACTACATTGAAATTGAAAAGTATAAATTTAAAAAAGTAACAAATTTCAAGTATTTGGGAGTCATCCTCACCAGTGATAATGATGAAGAGCTAGAAATTCAAAATAGATTAAACCTAGCACAAAAAGGTTTTTCGGCCTGTCACAAGTTACTGACTTCAAAAATAATATCCCACACCACCAAAATCAGGATTTATAGGACAATCATCAGACCAGTTCTCCTGTATGGTTCAGAAAATTGGATCTTAAGCAAGAAATCAGAAAGGAAAGCTATTGTATTTGAGAACAAGATTTTGAGGAAAGTGTACGGACCGATTTTTGAGGATGGACAATGGAGATCGAGACATAATTGGGAACTTAGAGAATTATTTAAGGATCCGGATATTGTCGCTGAGGTACGGAGCAGAAGACTGAGATGGGCAGGGCATATTCTAAGAAAAGATGACAACTCCCTATCAAAGAACATCTTGAGGAATAACCCAGAAGGTAGAAGACCCCTTGGAAGACCGAAACTTAGATGGTTCGACCAAGTGGAGAAAGACCTGAGGAAGCTAGGGAGAAGGAAGGAAGATGCAAGAAGCAGAGACCTATGGAGGCAGTGTGTTGGGGAGGCCAAGTACCATCTAGGGTACCAGTGGCCACAGCAGTAAGTAAGTAAGTATATGACTGTGCAGTAAACAAACATATAGTGAAAGGTTGGCTCACCTGAGGTGACGACAGTGCTGGCTCCTGGTCAGACAGGTAGTCTGAGGTAAGGTCGTGACTGCGGGCAGGGGAGGTGCCAGGCGCTGGGCGAGGGGGAGAGGGAATAGTACGCCGAGGGCTGCCGACCACACTAGAGCCTGCGTCCGTCTCGTAGTCAGACATCGGATGTCGCACGATGTTCAAGCTTCCCAGCTTCCCCTCCAGCTCGATGTTTACTGCTTCCAATTCTGCCACTCTTCGCTCCAGCTCCGCCTTCATCCTTTCCACCTGCACCATTTGCTGGTAACACAATATATGGTTGGTAACACTGACTGACAATGACTTTTGGGTATAGAAGTAGACATCCCGTGTATGGATCAGCTGTAGCAATTTTTAAATTCAAACAGAACATCGTCAAAGGAACCACACTCAGAGTGTTATGTTGAATCCTATTTCGTCTCTTTATTTTTGTATACATTGATGTATTGGATGACATAAAAAGATGCTGTAGTTCACAGTAAACTGTCAGCGGTTCAATTGAACTACGTCCATTTTCATTCTGAAACTGGCTTCAACTAGAACAAACGTCTAGTTCTATCAATCAAAATTCAAAAATATAAAATTTCTAAGGATTTTTTTGCAGAAATCTTCAAAGTCTTTGCATTTTAATATTTAGCTAATTAATAAATCTGGGAAATATTTGTCTCACTCCATTGTTTTCTTGGATTTGTGATTTTAAATATTAAAAAATTGGCTACGACATTTTTATAAAATTTTTTAAATGGACCACTATTGTTAAACTGCAATTTGATATTGATGTAAGCCTGAAGCTAAATTAAAGTGCATTTAAAGGTGGTTTTTATGCTTCCCTGAAATTTAACAGTAGGCTACCTAAAATAATCAAGATTCTGAACATGATCTTTCCTAAAATGAAGTTAAAACCCCAAAACCCTCAAAAATTGGGGAGTATTTTAACCATAAAGTTGTAGGTGTTTTTCCTTTCTTGTCACAGCAATAGTTTGAAATTGTTTCCTTTCATAACTTTAACACATCAATGTTGATATCAAGTTAATTCTCTGTTCATAAACTTAAAACGTATTATAACTGATATAGCTGGTTTTAGTTTTAGTTGGTGGACATTTCCTACGCTAAGTGTAATAATGGTTAAACTACTTAGGGTAGGAAAAGTCCACAAACTAAATTTAAAATAGTTATCCTTCGCAATTATGAATTTTAAAACACAGTGCAGTGATATAGCTGATGATCTGGTTACATGCCATTGTAGTTTCCGCACATACATTCCACAATGTCAAGACATTTTTACAGATTATCAACCAATGCAGTGCTGTTGCTGTTTGAAGAGTTTAATATAATGTCTTGTTTCATTTTATTGAGTTTGATATAATGTACCGCCAGCTTAAACCTTAGCTCTTAAAACGTATATGTAAATTCTTTGTCAAATAATATTGCAAAAGATATGCCAAAGAGTACAGATTTTTTGTTTTGTCAGCTACACTTGCACCAATAAAGGCAATTTGTTTTGACATTTTGTTTTAAAATACTTTAACATTGAGCTAAGACATCAGACTGCCTTTTATAATACATAATCTCAAAGAAGACATTGCAAGAATATAAATTCATATTAAATCAATTTAATGGGTTATTTTTAAAATATCCATTCAACTTACTAAGCATTCCCAGCAAAATGTATGCTATGTTATTAACACCCCAATATTTACTTTTTTAGTTAAGATGCAGTAGTTAATTGTTAGACAAACTGGTGAAATGTATAAAAAAGGACCATGAGGAGAAGACTTATGTTAAAACAATAATAACAAACAGTGTGTTCTTCAGGGTTGAAACTATAGTTATCTTTTTCAAATGTTGTTTAATATCCTGATAAAATGCAGTCTTAAAATTGTGAAACTAGCATGTGAAGAATTTTATTTTTTACAAACTATCCATGCTCTTTCAAGTACCTCAATATATTCTATGTGTATATTAGACATAACTATTCCATCAACTAAAGGGGTACAACTTGCGTTAAAAGGCAAAATTATCTTTTTGACTATTTAGAGCTTATTTATTAAGACTATGTCAGCTTAAAAAAATTGGTATCGATCCTCAAAACATGTTTACATTTTTCATATAATTTTATCAATTTTCTTTGGGTTCCAAAATTGAAGTATACAATGTTCTGCATAAACCATCTGACACAAAACAAAAGTGTGTTTGCTCAAAAATTCCAAGTTTACAGCTATCCTGAGTGAAATTGACCCTGAGTTGGACCAAAACGGAGATTGTAAACAGATAAAGACTAATTTAAAAGTTTAACCCAAAGTTTCCAGCTTCAGATTCAAAGGCAAACCCTTTTTTATTTACTTTTCGTTTTCGGTTTCCACATTTAAGTCCAAACTTTTCAAATCAAATTCGCTAGACACACAATTACACACTCTAAACCCAACACACTACATTCTACAGTGAAAACACAAATGACAGTTTCTGATTTATTTAACCACTAGAATCTGTAAGACATGCAATAGTCGTGCAGGAAGTTGTGATTTGTCTGTCGTACGTTGTCGGCCGTGCTGTATTGTTTGTTCCGCAGCTCCTGTTGTAGACGGATGTTGTCGTTGGCCACTCGAGTGTATTGCAGTACGGCCTCCGAGTGAGCAAACCTGGCTGCGTCCAGTCGTCTTTGCAGGTCGGCCACCACCGCCTCGCGTTTCTAACAACACGACAACACCCATCGTGCATCAGGGTGTCCACTACAAAACTAGTGTCTACCAAACTAAAAAATCTCTAACCTTACAATGTTACAGTTTTAGAAGGAATGGATACACAACTAAGTAACCCAAGAAAAAAGTTCCAGAAAGTTGACAGTACGTCAAACAGTTCACAATTGATTTGATATTTTGCAAATACTTCTTCAGAATGAAGCAACAGAACGGCATATACAAAACTGGCATTGTTTCAACTGTCTAAATCATGTATTGTCATGTGATTTAGACAGTTCAATCCATTCTACTACATCAAGCTGAAAAAGTCTTCTAGAAGGTCAAAATATCTAATTAATTAGCGTAGAATTTGAATTTAGGACATTTGACATGAGATTTTACTTTAATTCCAAAATATTTTGGAGAAAGTTTGTATTTTAAATTTTTTGAGGTTTTGGTAATCTAACTTGACATTGAATGACATCTAACTTTGAAAATGAAAAAAGTCAAAGACAGTAATCAAATTTAAAAATAACAAGATTACAAGTTTTTAAATAATAAAGTTTTAGTTATTAAACAAGCAAATAAAGTACAAACTCATTGACTTTTTATAAGCCTTGTAGAAGAAATCAACTTGAAATAAAGTTTTAACAACTTCCCCTTTTTCTTAAGCTTTTTACACCAATTTACTGTTTCATCCTTTGACTTTGATGATACCAGGTACCACAGACCCTATTGAATCCAATCTCAAATTCAAAATAGTAAAAACAATGGAGTGAGCCAATAAGAAAATCCACACCCACCACCAATTGTCATTCATACCAAACATCCACAAATTCTTTCCTCCCAATCCTACATTAGAAAACATACATCGCATTTTGAAACATATCCACCACCAATGTTTATTACGCAAGCAGTTACACAACTCGTTTTGCTCACCTTGTTGGTTCCGTCCAAGTCGCGCACTCTGTTCTCAAACTGAACGCACTGTTGAGTGGCGAGTTCTAGTTGTGAGCGCAGAGCTGCTTCCAACTCGCTGCTGGTCAACTCTACGTTGCTCATTCGCTTGCTTAGCTCACTCACCTACAAATGCACAAGTAACTAGTTACACCTTTGACATTTGATGGATACATGTTAAAGCTTCACCCAGTTATTAATAAACATTTGCGTAGTTGAATTGGTTGATGTTAATTACTGGATTTCTGTAGAATTCTTATATTGTTTTACAATCCTGAATTGGAAAGACAGTTTATTGTAAACTGTATCTTTTGGGTCACATAAAACTAAAGGGTAAAATAAATCTTTGACAGCAGCAAACTTTGTTAGTGGTTCATTCACTAAGTTAGTTGAATTGGTTGAATACAAAATTGGCTACAGCTCAACAGCTGTCCTATATAGATAAGGTAAGGAGAAGCTAAGGACAAGCAGATTAATACCAATGCATTTTTCAATTCCACTATATTTTCCATGAGAGTTGGCCATGTTTTATACCACGTTTTCCAAAAGATCAGTAGGGTAACTATAGTATTTATGAATCCACTGAATTGTATATGCAACGATGCAACCTACCTCTCTATCCCTAGCAATCAGCTGTGTTGCCAGCTCCTGTCTTTCTCTCTCAGCATCTGCCAACAGCTGTTCTTGTTCTGCAGTTAGTCTCTGTGACAACAAAAACAGCTGATTACAAATAGAAAATGAGGAAAAAACTGCTAAGATTTACTAACCTCATGGTTGTGTAAAAAAAAATTTGATTGACTTTTTTCATAATCACTACTGGAGTATAAAAACTTGTTTCTATGACTGATCAATAGAATTTCTCACTAAGCATTCCTAGCCTATAGCAAGCACCGATTAAGCAACTAGTTCAAGCAAAAGCTATATTGGATAACGGTTTTTCCGGTTAAACCGACGTCCCCAAAAACTCGTTAAAACGGACCGTTTTAATAAATGCATACTGTATACAGTATTTGACTTAAATTTAGGAGAGCATTGTATTTAGACATATTATCACTGGTCTCAAATACTTCCCACGAGAACAGTCGTTTCAGTACCGCCCACTTCCTGCCGATCTAGTCCGGTTAAACCTATGTGCTGATAAAAATGTCTAGTTAAAGAGATGTCATTTCCGCTGAGTGTAGTCCGGTTAAACCGATGTCAGGTTAAAAGGTGTCCGGATAAGAGGGAGTCTACTGTATATTCATACAGTTTTTGGTGTTTTGTACTTGTTTTATCTCCCTCTAAGATTTTAAAATATTTTTAATTATATCTAAAATTTTAGTTTTAGGATACTACTTTAGTTATATCGTTAACACTATTTGTTGTATCACATGTACAAACCAATGAATAAATATTGTTGACTAAGACTAAGACACAAGGCCTACGTAATATAGCAAATAATACTAAGTGAATCGCTAATATAAACTGTACAAGGCTCACCTGAAGCTCATCCCTTTGTCTATTTAATTGCTGAAGTTTCACGTTGAGTTCATCAACAAGTTCTTTGTTCTTCTTCCCTTCAACAACATGGTCTTCAATTTCTCTAGTCAAAGCTACTATCTGTCCATTCAACTGTTCAATAGCCCGTGTCAGTTCTACATTCTGCTTCTCCAGTTCCACACTTTTGTTCTCCAGCTCCAAACACTTTTGCTCACTGTCGGATAATTTCTTTGAATACTTTTCTGTTATCTCATTCAGTTCCCGGGTGGTTTCTGATTCAAACCTTTCAAAATCTTTTTGCTTCAACCTCAATTCATCGGAGGTTTTCTGCAGAGACGAGTGCAAAAATTCAACTTTTGTGTTTAAGTTTTGTCTTTCCTTTTTCAATTCAGAAGCTTCATTCTCAGCAGTTTCGAGTTGAAGTGTGACTTCTTTCAGCTTCCCAAGCAACGAACTGTCTTGTTCTCCCTAAAAATGTAATTCAATCATTACTTACGCTGTTCTATAATTTCAAATTATTTTGAAATTTAAAGATGTAAACAATTCTATTACCGGATATGCAGTATTTTATCAGGCAAATCATAATTAGTAAATTAGCTGCGTTAATAGAAGCAAAGCTTTTAGAGTAAAATCATTTATAAAGAATTAAAACCCTACAAAATTAATAAAATAGAGACTTGAATAATCTGCACATAAGTCCTGATTTCTCAGAATTGACTCAGAGCAATTTCCTGCTTTTCTCAAGTAAATAAAATATAGATACGGGCATTTCAATCATGAAATGATGAAGAACTCATTAATTTTCTGGCAACAAGGAAAATACGTTATGAGATGAATGGACAAAAAATATTATGCGAACAACTAAAAAGACATGCAGATTCGTCTCTCAGTTTTCTATTTGGATACAAAATTTAAATAATAAATATAAAAGTGGTTAGTAGAAGAAGCAAAGGTCGCAGTGGACAGGACAGTCTGAAGGCTAAGCAACACATTCGCCATTCCGTCTACCTGACTCCTCTGCAGGGAAGATACAGTGGTTTCCAACTGACGGCGAATGTAATCGTTATGAAACAGTGAAGCCTCTAGCTTCTCTCTCTGATTGCGGATCTCGTCCAAGAGGTGAGCGGGGACAGAAAAGGAACTTCGTCGCGACAACTAAAATCCACATTTGCTGCTGTCAGCCATAAACGGTTAACAATGATTTTTTTAAGATTTAAATTTAAATTTGATGCGGGAAACAGTTTCCATTTGGATAACTATTTAAAAGGACTAAAAAAAGTTTAGTAGCTGATAAAAATGTGTATTTTGTTATTACCTATTTACTATTTAGTCTGTCGAATGTGTTTTATTGAATTGGATCGACTAGATATTTGTTATTACTGTACTTGCGCTCATCACTGCGATGGATAAGGTTTACAAATATATACCCCCATATAGATAAAAGAGAGTGGGAGCAAGTTGAATAATTTGCAGATAGTTTGTAGTTTTCATTTTGGTAATTTGTCAAAATGTCTAACTGTAGATAAATTGATCATAAAACTGTTTGTTATCATCGTAGAAACTATTAGGATATCAATAATTATTGCTTTCCAGAATCATTGACACAATAATTTAAAATAAAACAATTGTGAGAACTGAGAACATACATTTTCAAAATCAAACCTAATAAAAATATTCTAATTTCCTAATTTAGAGATGGATTTACCCAAGGCTTCCATTTCTGTATTTATCTGTACTAATCATTTTCTTTCAAAATGTTTGTTTCTTGATTTGACTACAATAAAGTTCTTTGATTGAGATTGTATACTAATATTGTTATGTTTTAGTCACTTTCTCACCTGAGGACTGGATCAAGAAATGAAAATTTTATTTCACTAATCGTTATGGTAAATGTTCGTAATAATTGCTCAAACCATAGTTTTGTACCTCAATGCTAGTAGCCTTGTCCTGGCGGGTGAGTGCAGGAGGAGTCAGCTGATGGAGGATTACCAACTCACTGCGCAGAGCTGCGTTCACCTGCTCTAGGTTACGAATCTTCCTCTGCAACCTCTGTATCTCACTGCCTCTTCTGGATACTACAAAACAAAAGTGAAGTCTTTTAATATCCATCGATTCCAAATCTGTTTAACATGGATTGTTTCCGAGTTTCAATCAGTCTCAAACTGGCGTGGGTTTATTTTACCAATGAGCAGCACCTGTATTTTGGCTGGTTTGTGTGAATAAACTGGAACGAACGGAGACAGTTCCCAAACTGATAGAAACATACACTTTATGTTAACTAAAGTGCTGTTTTTATTTCAAGCAAAATTTAGACAAACAAACGGCTGATTTTAGATGGTAACAAGACCAAGGTTTCCTTTGGTTCCCTATCTAAGTTCCCTTAGAAAAAAACATAAAAAGCCAATAGTGTTAAAAAACGTAAATGACGGAAATAAAAAAATAAGACTACGATATTTCATTTTATCTGATTAATTAAAGAACTTGGATATCAATTTAGTAAACATCTTTTGCTGAACGATATTTATTTACCCAAATGACAAACAATATCAAACAAAAAACGAATCGTTGTTGTTATTTTATTAATGATACAAATTTTTATTATTTCTTAATAAGAAATAGCCCTGCTCCAAACTCAAAAAAGTAAAGATTTTACTCAAATAACACTTACATGGTGATTTAGGTATGGACTCTGCAGTTTCCGAAGTGTCATCACAAGCGAGAGTGGTTTTATTCACCAGATCCTCCTTCAGTCCCATCCTAGCGTAGGAAACGTCTCGGTCGGGCTCCGACCAAGTCTCACACTCAGATCCGTCTTCCTTCACTGATCGTTCTTTTGTGTCACCGACAGATTTCTTCCTGCTGGTCAAAGTTATCTTCCCAATATTGGAACTTTTCACTTCCGGATTGATTCTTGTGCAGGTGTTGTCCAACGCTTCACTACACGTGTCCACTAACGATCCTTCCGTAATGTCCGCCAGATCGTAAAACGCATCATCTTCTTTGGACCCAATGGAAAATTTCTTCCCGTCAAAGTTGAAGATGGAGTTGAGGAAAGGGTTGTCACAGTTTTTCTCAGTGTTGAGTGTTTCTGCTGCTGCTTTACCTGCCTCGTCGCCAGAGAATGGTTCTTCAGCCTCGTCTCCGCTCCAGAAGTCCACTGTGGAAATGTCTGGCAATAAAGGCACCACCAGACTTGGCTGTAGATCTGTCCATGTGCTGCACTGTAGCAAACTGGACTCTTCCGCAGCCAACGACAAAGATCTGGAACATGTCATGACACTTCATAAACTAACAACAAGATTAATCAGTACTGTTAATATGGGGCATAGCAATGAAAAAAATCAGTCACAGGTTGTACATTTTCAGAAAAAAAAATATATAATTGTAATGGTTTGACTAAGCTCAATATTCATCTTAACTACTTAATATAAAACGGGACAATAAAACGCACAATCTTTAGTACCGATAAGACAAAACTTTTCAGTGATTTGGACATGAGATTGGCGGGCAAACAATATTTTGTGCTATAATGATTTTGACCTGGTTACATGCTCCAAAAATGTATTCCCATTCCCAATATGATTAAGCATTATGAACTTAATCATGCCTGCAGCAAGGTGCAAAATAAAAGATAGGATTAGGAAACTTTTTTTTAGTTAGGCCTGCTTTTTTCAGTGATTTTTTGGGGTCTTAAAACCATTACTGGTCAGTGACTTCCGTGATCCCCTAGTAAAATTAGTGACTTCAGTGACCAATAGACATCCTGTTCTATTAATAGTTAAAAGGTTTAACCCAAATGACTGAATGAACGGGCAAATTCAACGTGTAAAGAGCATCTTAAAACAATTCATATCCTTACAACTAATCAAAAACACATTTTATCAATCACGTTATCATAAAACACTCTACTAACCTAGACAGTTCCCTGCTGCGTTCGACAGCTTGCTGAACGTATTTGCGTTTCTTGCCGCACAAAAGTGGTAATAAGGACTCCAGGAAGTCTGCCAGTTCCTGTAGTCGCGTAGTGAGCAGAACACAAGCGTTGACGGCCTCCTTGCGTTGCTTCTCCGCAGCGTCCTTCTCTTCGCGCAGGGCTTGGATCTGAGCACTCTCCTTGTCACGTTCTGGAGTGTTCAACAGCCGGGCTTGCAACTCTTCCACCGTACGCTGCAGCTGCCTGTGAATAAAAACATAATGAATGAACATGTTCATAGAACTCTTGGCTTGGTTGGTTATAAAGTAAATGAGTGAAAATAGTAGGATCAAATAAGTAAATAAGATCATGCCACGTTTAGCCCAAATAAGCACATGTCAAATCTTTGTTTTTTAACATAAATGTAAAGAATAAAATCCTAGATAATTTTTTTCAGAATTTTACATAATTTTTCATAAAAATAATGTAAACTGTTTTCATGTTAAAAAATGTTTGTTGATATTAACTGACGTTTTGAGGTTAGGTTTGATTTTTTCCGTGACTTTGATGACCCCCTAGTAAAATCAGTGACTTTTCATGACTTCAGTGATTTCCGTGACTGGTAAACACCCTGTTACACTCTAACCTATGTATTGTTAGTCACAGGTATTTTACCTTTTGTCCTCCACCAAACGCTGTATCTGCATTCGAGTGTCAGTCATGGGTTGTTGGTTCTCCTTGTCATTGAAGATGCTCCTTTGGAATGTCACAGGAGATGTGAAGCCACTCACTTTCTCCATCATCGTCAGCTGATATTCCCTGATTTGCTTCTCCAAAGACATCATTTCAACATGTTGCCGTTCACAGAGTTTATTCAACTTTTCAATCTCCCTGTTCTTGTCCCACAACTCTTTGTTCACCAACCCTTGCAAATTAAAAGTCTTCTTCTTCAATTCCTTCTTCAGGTTTTCAATTTCCTTGTTTTTGTCCTCCAGTTCTTTTAGATGGATTTCATTATCTTTGCAATTTTCTTCTGATTGCTGATTTGAGTCAGTTGACTGAGATTTATTCGGTAGGGAGTCTAGCTTAGCTTTGAGCTCTTTGAGTTCAGAATCTTTCTCAGTGATTACTTTGGCCAGTTCCTGCAAAAATAAGGATAGTGATACTTAGTACAAATTTACACTATATGTACAGGAGTTTTGTCATGCTTTTAAAATTTTAAAATGTAGCAAAGAAATTTTGCTAAGTCAGTCGCTCGGCCGGTAGTAGGGCCACGGACTTTGGGTCCAAGGCAGTGATGTCAAGGGTTCGGATCCTGTTATCTGTCGCTACTATTTCATCAGTATAGTTCACCCTTGTACTGTACCAGCTCACTCCTTGCTTTGCTGTGGCCCATGTGAAGGTGCAAATGCAAGGTAGGAGTAAAGAAGATGATTGAGGTGATAAATTGTGAGAAGATTGAGAGACTTATCAATGATTAGACACAGGAATGACCAGGGGAAAAGAGAGGTGTTATGTATGTATGAAACAAGAAAGTGTAAGAATGTAAAATTGCCAGTCAAAACATTGAACACAACATTAAAACATTCTTTTTTGTGACTAACTAACTAAAATTTGTTGCAATTGGTATTATTGTACCGATTATATAATAGTAAATTATATATACTGTATGCTAATTGAATACCACGTAAAGAATTAAAAGAAAAAGAGGACCACATATCTTAAAATATCTTAATAATCATCTTTAACGATAAATTAATGCCTGTTTCTGAACAATTTTTCCGAAGATGCTAGGCTCTAGCCCAGGCTTGTTTTTCACATTACTTTAGGCTAGACTTGAGGGTTGCGGCATTATCACTTCGATTGGTGATCTCACGGGATTTGAACCTGGAACCTCAAGGACTGAAGTCACACGCTTTATTACTAGACCAGCTCGCTCCCCGAACCACAAGGTACAGTTAAGAATGAAAATATAAATGCAGTGCTCACCTCTACTTTTGATTGAAGTTCTGTAACTAATTCCTTCTCCGTTGACTTTTCTTTAACTTCTTCTACAGATCTGTTAGCCTGTGGATATAAATTTAATGTACTTTGCATTGAAACTGACTTGTGATTGCTCCTAATAATTTCAAATAAATGGACTCAATATTAAGCAAAAACACATCTGTTCAAATTCATTTACTGCCACATTATAGGCCAAACATCGTCAGAGTCAAAGTTTCATTTTGAATAAGACATAACATTTTCTCAAGCTATAAATTATTTTGTACAACAAAGCGAGAAATCATGCAGTTTACACATGCCACAAAACTGTAAGTATTATTTTGCCAAAATACAATATCAAAACATGCCAGAAGAAAAACCTTTAAATTTACTTTAATGCATTATTATGATTCCTAAATTCTGAGAGAATCAAAAGTGAAAAGGTTTTGAAAAAACATGTTAGAAAATAAATCAGTTGGATAAATTTAATATATACTTTAGTGGAATAAATATTTTTTTTAGTATTTTAAGAGTTTATGATAACTTAAGTTTTGTTAGATATATATTTTATTTACTGTCTGTACTTTCTGCTACACATATAACCTATGAAATATCTTGAAGATCTATCAATATGGTAAATAACAATTTAGTTAAATGGCTGATAGTGATGCTAATTATAACGAATTATTTACCTTACAGCTATCTAAATGTATAAATCATCTTTTTTTGTTAAACAAAAAGAAAAGAAATTTTAGGACCATCAACTTTTTATTCAAGCCGTAAACTTTATCTAACACGAGATTGAAATAAAATACACAGATATACATTTAATTATTCAAGTTGGTACAACTTTTGCGTATGTTCAATACTATTTTAACAGGCGCTGTTAAGATCTTAAATGGAGTTTTTCTCTGTAGAATTCACGTTCAAAACTGGCCCTCATTATTATCCACATTGTTCTCCGGATTTTGTTTTCTACAAACAACAGGAATTACTAGGCATTTCTTGAGGTGAAGTGAGAGATTTTGATTGTAGACGTAGTTGACAAATGGAGTCCAAAACCTCTGCAAATGTATCGCTATAACTACTTTTTGAAATTCATTGAAGTAGTGTTTTACTTCAAGCAGTAAGGAATTGACAGGAAATATTAAGACACTAATATCAATATTTTTACTATGTAACACTATATTGAGAACAGACAATGCTCTTTTTTCTTTATCATAGGCTATATAGTTTTTTTTTTATCAGTACAGTTTTCAGAAAGAACGTAGTACTCAAAATTAATATAAGAATCTGTAATTATTCAATTTCAGAACTGCAGTACAAAAATTTTGTTAGTTGTTAATATTTAAAACGTCTGTAAAAACCTTTAATTCAGTACTGTGATGTAGCAAAGGATAATAAGAACAGGAAGTATTTAAATGTTTTAGACAATAATGTAACATAAAAAACATTATGAATAAAGAAAAATATTATAAACTTAAATTATAATGTTTTAATTATTTTGGATGCAAAACACAGCCTATTATATGTAGTTCATTTAGTTTATTCTTTAAACTTAAACATTATTGTAAAATTTCAAAATCAAAAGTTAAAACGCTTACTTTCCTATCAAGTTTACGGTACTCGTGTAATCCATTTAAAGATAATCATATTAAAAACAAAGGTTTTCAAAACAGAAAGCCATTAGATATTGGCAAACCTAAGGAGGCAGGCAAAAGGATAAGTCTCATTTTATTATGAAAATATTGAATTTTTTTATCTGAAAAGTACTTACAAATTGTTAGAACAAATTTTTATCATTCAGAAACAACACATTGTAAAAAACTGTCCGAGCAAATTAAACAGTTGAACAAATGCAAATGCTCTCCAACTTTAAATATGCCATTGTTTTTACAGAATAAAATGTTACTCATATAATGGAAAATGCAACACAATTTTTTTTTTATATCAATTGATTTATTCTGTATAATAGTATAATAACATAATGCTATAACTAATTAATTATCGATTATGTAGCTTGCTAATAAATAATTAAAAACTTTTGCCTTAAAGCCTATGTGTGAGCTCAATTAAACAACTATGCTGTAGCTAAGCCCTCAGCTACATAACAATATTAAATTGTAATAGGCCTATTGAAATTAATTGTTAACATTACCTCGTAATTTTAGTTATTAAATGTTTGAATTTTTTCAATTTTACATAAGATTTGTAAAAGTCAAGCACGAATTTAAGTCCCTTAAACATCTGTGATGCAATTTTATAAGAGAATTGAATACAATACATTTAAAAGAAAATGAAAATACTTATAAAGGGTAATTTATAACGATTAACTAGTTTTAGTATTTTTAATTCTTGGTTTCTCAAAATCAATAAGATTTATCAAATAAAAAGCTCGTACACAGCCGGAAAATATTGATTGGCTTTGTTAAGCTCCTGATTTTTTTAGTGATTTGTGTACAGAAAATCTAAAAAAAATGCAATTTTGTAATAGGTCTTATAGGTAATTTTTTTGAGTTTTTTAATAATCGTTATTTATTTAAAAAATAATCATATCAGGACTACATTATTTTCTAAGAAATTAGCTGTCTGGGATTGAACGTAGCCAACAAGTAACAAATATCAGTTTTACGTTCTGTTGTAATTCAAATACTCTTTTGATAACTCTTTAATGATTGTGTAATCACCAAATACATTCAAACCATAAAGGTTTGTCATGTTGGGTTCTTCTTTTAATTTTCACCTCTTTTAAAAATTATACTGGGACCAACCTTCGCACTTTAATACAATAGATCCAACTATCCGAATTGTCGACTGTCCGAATCGCTTACAGAGAGAATGTAAAAAACCTTAAACTACAGTAATATGAATCGTTGCTATAGAAGGAAGAAGCAAACTGCCGAATCCTAAACATCCCCCATGGTCTTGTAGACTTCATCATTGCCTCCATCATAGTGCCTCCCCCCCTCCCCCTCACAATTGCCGGAAAAGTGTGAATTTTTCAATGGTGAAATCTTTGCAAACGCTTTCCGCAATCACAATATAGTTAAAACTCCTATTTTATATAAAATACCCTGGATACAGATCCAACAATCAAAATCTGAAGGTGGTGTGGTCCCAGTTGATTTGGATGGTTGGAGAACTAACTGTCTGTACAGCTTTTACATGCCTAAGCTTAATTTCATTCATCACATGCAAAAACATGCTGTTAAATCAGTCGCTGAAGCATGCAATACATTAGGGCAAATGAGGAAATATTGTATAAAATATGTAAGAATGATAACAATTGATTTTTGGAACTGCTTGTCAACAGACAGTATACCAAATTGCAGAACATATTTTAACATTTTAATGAAAATATATAGACAGCATTAGTAACTTTTCCTAAGAAGGCACGGCTAAAATCATGTTTAGACAATGGAATCTCTACTGGGTACAAGAAAAAAATATTTATTTTCTGGCTAGGACCTTGCATTCAGCCATAAATTATGTTAGGCCTACTCATTTAATAACAGCAACATTTAAACATTATTTTGACATTATCATTAAACAAATTTAAGAATAATCTTTAACAATGTTGCTTTAAAAGAAGTTGTGTGTTAAATTATTTACTTCAAATGAAACTAAAAGCTTGTACAATTTAGGGAAGACTACAGTTTTTTTAAACAAATGATATGCAATTGTCTAAATAACATAGAGAAAATGAATGTTTTTTATTATACATTTATTAAAGCCTATGGCTTTAGGGAAATGTCCCTAAATTATTCAACTTTATAAATTCAATTAATCTTATTAAGAGAAAAGTTATCTGAAACCTATTTAAATACAACTATTAATATATTATGGCCTAAATCTAAAGAAATCAATAAATATCTTCAATAGCAAAAAATACTTAAACATGTCAAGCCCCATAAGATACATGGACAAACATGTTGGCGAGCATGTTTGTTATGGTGTTGGCGGCGAACATGCTCGCCCGTGTGTGGGGGCTTTATATCACTAGAAATATATATTATAATATAAAATGAATTAATAAATATAAATTTTCTAGTAACCTACTATAAACAACCTTTTTTCTTTTTTTCAAAAAGGAACACGCCCATACTAAGAGTTGTTTTAGTTGTTACTTTAGGATCTACTGTGGTATTATCTAAAGCTGTATAACTCCACTATTGATTACTACAAGTTTTATTTTGTCTATTTATTATAATTATTTTTGTAATTTTATTTTCCTGAGGGTTTTTTCTTAGTGCTTTTTTGGAGACAACGAATTAGACAAAGCACTCTGTCTATGTTCAAAAGTATTTGAAACCCAAAAATCAAAATTATACTTTGGGAGAGCCAATAAAAAAAATTTGAAACAAGATCTAGCCTATCAACAAGTTAAAACTACATAGTAAATAAAATTAATATTGAGGACAAAACAAGAAATAATTAAAACAAGATCTTGTTTAAACCAGGCATCTATATCACAAAAATCATTCAGCAACACTAAATCAATAACATGGATCGACTGTTTTTTTTAGATGAGTGTGGGTTCCCTCTAATTTAAGACTTAACAAAATATAAATGTACATATAATAAAGCAAATACAGAAAGTTCAAAAAATTTCAAAAAATTTTAGAGGCAGTCATTACTGAATAAAAAAAGATAAAACCAAAAGTATAAAACTATAAAGTCCAATCATAAAATAGTTGTGACATCTATTAGACTAGAGTTTGTTTATCGTAACTAACCTTAAAGTATTGTTAAACTATAAAAAACAAATATTTACATTTAAAAATCACAACTAGTCAAATTCGTTCTTGCTTTCATACAACAACCCTTTACAGACATAACATATTTCCTCTTTCCTAACATCGTTATACATGTTATCGTTATACATTATATAAGAATCAAACTCATAACATCTAAAATGTATAAAGAGCAAGAACAAGTTAAAGCATAAAAATTAAAATAACTGTATACATTTTTTACATTTGTTACGTCAGTATCACCAATTTAATTACAGTAACCCTTGGTTTTTTCAGGTTCCTGTGAAAAATTGCATCATTGCTTTTTAATACATGCACACTGAATTTATAAAGAATAAGACAATAAGGAAGACGTAATGGGTGAACTCATATTTGCCTCTTCAACAGAAGTACTTAAAGCGCTAAAGTAGAAAAATTGAATTTTAAATAATAAACTATTTGTGTACCATCAACTGTTTGAACTTAGAGCCAGTTGTGCACTCATTCCATCTTCCATAATGTACTCCTAAGCCAAGTAAAGATTAACACAACAATTTCTAACCAAAAGTGTTCTGAATCGCAACACTGCTAAATCGACTACTAATTGAATAAAGAGAACCCCGTTTCCTTACAACATTCAACGCTTACATTTCATACTGATCCTCAACAAGCAAAGGCTACTGTAATCACTAAAGCGACAGATCACAGAACGGCAAACCTTTGGTCAAACATGCAAAGCTACGGCTCAAAGTCCTACAGTACCTCTTCCTTGGACGAGGTAGAGGTGTGTCCACGCACGTCCGCTTTCATCTTCTCCACTTGGGCCTTGAGCTGTTTTTTCTCCCGATACATTGTCTGTATGAAGCTCTTGCTTTGTAACAGCTGGGCCTTTAACTTCTCCAGTTCTTGCAGCAGTTCAGCCTCTCGCAATTGTGGTTCCTTGGGTTCGTCGGTGGCAGAATTATGGCTTGTTGACGTCCTTTTCTCTGCCAAGTGCTGGAGATATTTTACCTGTGAACGATACACTTGTAACTTTTTTACTTTGTCAATAACACACTTACATATTTTTAACTTTGACTATGGTTAGAGCTGGACATTCCATTACAAATTAAAGTTGTCAGTATTAGAATGTTGTTGAATTGACCGTTTACCAGAGATCCGATACCCTATCCCTAATTTTTATTACATCATCTTATTAACCGAGCCAAACTGAAAGCTCTTATTGTATAAGGAAGCCCTATGATACAAATTCATAATTAACTTACACCTTAAGATTATTCCGAGATTTCCTTACCAAATACAATTACAAAATTAGATACAGCCTACTCAATGAGGTTACTACAAATGAACAAATAATGGTGAGTTAAAAAATAATTGTGGTTTCACATTTTATCTTATCTTAGACCTCCAACATCCTGTGAATAACCTACTAAAACTACAATTGAAAACAAGCGTTTATAAAATGGAAACCATAATCAAATGAAGCTTAAAAAAAACAAATAGGCCTACCTTTCTAAAGAGCAACTGGATACTAAAATTTTTAAAAAATAGTCTTTTGTTATTTTGTATATAAAGCAGCAACTAAAAATAGTTTGAATTTAAATGACTCATAAACAAGATCTCAAAGGAAAATCTTAAGTACCGTAAGTTAAGTTAAGTTATTAAATAAGTTTTAAGTCCTAAGTTTTTTAATTATTTTTAAAATTTAATTCCTCAAAACAAAAAAAATAATCAAGGTTATTCACCAATAATCACCAGGTTATTCATAGCACCCAATAGAATAGAACGATGCACAACTATTTCATAATAACACAAAACTATTACACTAGCAAACAAATTCACATTAAAATGTTGAAAGCTTCTCTGTTCTTTCAAACTCAAACATAAAGGCCTCAAAAGACAAGAACTGAGAGTGAACGGTTGGCGTTAAATGCCCTGAAATAACTATTGCAACAGCGACAGGCCTGCATGGATATTTTGAGCTTTCCCCCACCGAGCTATAGGCCCAGCTAGGAAGCAAAACACATTCCACCAATAAGTTGCTGTCCATCCCAAACTGAATACATGATGGAAAATGTTAACAGTCTTATACTTTGATAACTACAAATACCATTGTACAGCCTTCAATAAAGATTGTTGTATACTGTATATTAATTGTTTGTTAACATTTTTTTATAATTGAACAATCTTCAAAGAAGTACGACAACAACACACCAGTCTTGATCGAACTATTCGATTCATACAATTAGAGTGCGCTAACTACAATTTCATGCTCCAAGTATGAAGATTTTTGAGAAACCAAACTAATTTAATGATTCATTTTACTAACGTGTTTGTGTCTTTAAACCCATATCATTACTGTATATTATCCTAGTTTGTGTATAAGCTTTGTTTAACTATGTATATTTTAATATTTTAATTGTGTATCATTCTAAATGATTACAGTAAGAAAATGTATGATGTCTTCACAGTGGCGTACCCAGGATTTTGCTCTGGGGGAGGGTGTCAGGCTAGGGCCTGGGGGAAAGTTTTGGAATACATGTTCAATATTGCTGATTAAAAAAATATTGCTATTCAATATTGCTATCTAAAAGGCCACTAAAAATGGAAAATGAACTAAGTTTAATAAAACTGTGAACGAGTGACATGTGTAAATATTTTTTTTTGTAAATAGACAATATTTGTAGTGTTAGTTTTATATAAGATATGAAGATAGAAGACCCCTATAGATGTAGGTTAAACAAATTATCCCTCATTTTAATCTTTAAACTAATTTATTAGTATGTATTCCTTGGAAGGTTGACAAGTTGGTGAAATGTACATAAACACCTTATGTACACAAACATTTACTTAAAAAACAAAGGCAACAAAATAAGGTAATAAAAAAATTCTACTTAGTTTTAAGTTACTTACTGTAGTCATAAATTTGCCTTGCCTTACCTCTTGTTTTAATTTTTCATTTTCAAAATAAACTAGTTTTAGCCGTTTGTCTGTGCGAGATTCAGTTTCTTCTTTTTCTTGTAGCTTGTTTTCCACCCTGGTGAGTTGTTTCCTTAATTCCTCGGCAAGGGATTTCCATTTTTCTCCTTCAGTAATCTAAGACAAGGAAAACTAGCTTGAACAGATGTAGTTAATTGAATGATATAACAACTAATAATGGCCCAAGTAAGCAGCCTGGCAAAGATAAATATTGCCCATCTAATAATGGGAAATAAATGTATAAAGCGTGAAGAGTGCCCTGTGAGTATAAACAATTTAGGGAAAGGTTTAACGGATGAAAATAAAACCAAATTCAAGGCTGATATAAAAAAAAAACCTTGTTTGCTCGATATCTGCCAATTTGTTTTTGTATTTAAAAATGTTTATCTTTAAAACAATTAAAGATATCTTATGAAATGAGGTATACCATTTGAAATAGCTATTACCATCTTTACTATTATAAAATTGAGGTGGTGTCTGTCTGTCTGTCTGTCTGTCTGGACAGCTGTCACGACTAAAATACTAAACCTATAAAGCCAAAATTAAGCACAAAGATGGTCCATATATCTAGAAATGTCAGAGGCATATTCACTTCCCTGAGTTCCTCTCGGGCTACGCCCCTTGGAAGTCCCAGGTTTTAGGGTGAGGATTCCATAAGTAAATATTAATTGGTCTCCATGGAAGCATGAGAAAATTCATTCACAATGTTTGCATTTGCATTGACATTTCAATGTAAACAAGCAGAACTACAAAATTGCTTTTTTCACAATTTATTTCAGACAGCTGATCCAAAAAAATAAACAGAATATTTTACACAACTATGTGGTAAGTTTATCCTATACTCTAATACAAGCTAAGTCTGTTTGTCTGTAATATATACAGTAGAACCTTGATAACAAGACTCTCATAAGGATTATTAATCAAGACTTGTTATCAAGGGACTCCCTTATTGAAGTTTGCAATAATATGTGATTTGGGGTAAAATAAATTCAAGGGGATTTGAAAATGACACTTGTTATCAAGGGTCTTATTATCAAGGTTCCACTGTATCTCGAAATTAACTGGAAGGATTTTTATATTTTTAATAGATTTTGGAAATAGTGACTTATAACCCTAAAAACGTGTATGGTGACAGCTACTACCTCAGGAAAATTTGTATTTTGCTACACAAGTTATTTGAAAATTAAAAAATGTAACATTGGCCTTATGAGTTGCTAAGTAATTATGTTGGTTGAACAAAATAACAAGGAAAAAGTAAACTAAAGACTTGTAACCTGTAGCATGTGTTTACAACAAGCCATCCACAGTATGCTAGCAGAGTAGCAGACTACAACGTACAAAACAGAAAAGGGAAACACAATAGTTGTAACTACAGTAGAACCCCTTATATCCGAACTCGGACTAACCGACTCCTCGGGATATCCGACCTAGTGTCCGACCGCCTACTTGTTTCCTGTCTGGGGCGATAATGCCAAGCGCAATCGGTTGGCCGAAAGGCTGATCGCGGGTGTTGCCGCGGTTGTGAGAGTCGATTACAGAAGTCACGGAGACAGCAAGTTATGCTCACGCACGGGTGTTGCCACAGTCGCAGGAGACGATACCCGAAGTCGCGGAGAATGCAGGTTATGCTCCTCTCGATATCTGATCTTTTGGCTGTTCCAACCATGGCCCGGTCACGACATAGTCGGATATGAGGAGTTCTACTGTATTCAGCAAAGAATACACTGAAAATAACTCGACATAGTGGAAAATAGAGCAAGAGTTGATGAGTGTTTCATAATGGATGTTTGAGTGTGCACTGGCGTTAACTCAATGTTTCGCTCTTATTTAAGGGTAGATTTTACAATTTGTATACACTCTTTTAGTGTTTCCATAATTTGGTAACACAGTAAGCAAGCATATACGCTAGAATCAGACTTATCTGTCTTCAGCTAATCCATCATTTTATGATAGTATTTTAGAGAGTATGCTCATGCTGAAGTTTATTTATACTTTAAGAAAGATTTTTAGTTTAGTACCAAGAAATAAATCACCCCCCCCCCCTTACATATACGCTGTACTATGCTGTATTAATGCTATTGTAGCTGAATTCTACTGTGTTAAAATGTGATTTTATATTAATTCCTACGATAGGAACTAATACCCCCGCCGCAGCAAACCTGCCGACTAAGCGAATTTCCATTTGTCTGAATTGATTTTCAGTTAAATATATTTTAATAACATTAGGTTTAACGAGTACCTAGGTTTGCTGCTACAAGGAAACTAATAAAGTGTGTTTTTGAGTAAAATATTGATAGCTTAGTACAAAATAAATAAGTTTGCCAAGTTTGATCAAAATGTATCCATAAACAAGCAAACTAAAACATTTGACAATATTCCCCATAAGAATAACATGGGAATTTTAAATTTACAATTTTTTAAATTTTCTCCGTTACTAATAATAGAACAAAAATACTTTTATATACTAAATTATTTGTTTTTTTAAGCTTTTTAAAAAGGTCTAAAGAGAAATCGGGATATTTTGAGTTTTGAGGGTCAAAAGTGAGAAAAACCAATTTTTACCCCATAAAACCCCCCGTAAAGCCCCGTTCCCAAGGTCCGATTGTGCTGGTTCGCGAACTCATTCAAGTTTATCCCGCTTTACACCTTTAAACCAAATTTTATCAAAATCGGACAAAAATTACTCAAGTTATCGCGTTCACGGACGTATATATATATATATATATATATATATATAAGTCTATATATATATATATATATATATATATACATATATAAAAATTTGAACGAATGGTGTTTTTGGCCTCTGGGGACATCAAAATGAAAAAGTAAATCGGTCCCGGGTCTAGGTCTTACCGTGCCACCTACGGTAATAGCTACTTCCCTATAGGGAAATTCGCTAAAATTTAAAAAATACTTCTTTTATATTTTATATATATTATATATATTTTTTTAACAACATAAGAAATATGTACAATTAAAATGAATTAATGTGTTGGATTGCCAACTTAAAATTTCCATCATAATAAAATTTAAATTCTACTAGAACTTAAATAATAAAAGACAAAATTATTTATAAAGAACATGTTAGTTTCCTTTATATTGCTTTCACAATTGAAATAAACTATACTGAGCCATGGCTTAGTCACCCGGTACTTTATTCTAAAACTATATCATATATAAAAAAATATTCTATAACCGTTGCTGTATCAACCCAGGCTTTGCTTTTGATTTATCAAAGTGTTAACGTAATGAAAATAATGTTATTGATATATTTTCATGTAAACAGTAGGACAATTACAATGTAGGTTATACTTTTTTGTATAAATTTAGTGGCTTGTTTGTTTATAAATTCAAACTACTTAATTAGTGTTTAGATTTTTTTTTTTTAAGAGGTTGGCGGCCTCTTTTAACCTTGCCCGTCCACATAGACTACAGATCTGTGCGTGGAACGTATCCAGCAAAGCAAGGAGTGAGCCGGTACAGTACAAAGGTGAACTGTACTGATAAAAGTTAGTGGCAGTGACCAGGATCCGAACCCACGACACTTCTGCCTTGGGCCCGAAGTCTGCGACGCTACCGACTGAGCCACCGACTCACCTATTTGGCGGTATAGTACAACTTCCCGTTGCAAAGAACAGGTACAGCTGATAGTAAAAAATATCTTCTGGTTTCAAAACTAATGTTTTGTTTTTTTAACTTGAAAGTTGTGATTTTTCTTTAGAACATTTTTTACATTTTAAATTCTCAACCAAAGGACATCAAGTTAAGAAAGATTGAATGATAAATAGCTCAAATATCTTGTAAGTGGAGATTCCCATGTAAATGGACGTGGTGACATACAAATCTAAAAAAATCTAAAAAAGTCCAATTCTTGCGCCTTAACACAAAATCTGTTTACTGATTTTAAATATTTTTCACAATTTTTTAGGCTACGTATTTTTTTTTTTTTGTCTCCTGCGAACAGTGAGCATATCTTCCGGTCTCTCTGTGATGATTCTTTTTTCGGGTAACCAACGTTTCAGATGACCAGGCTTAAGATAATTGACGCTCTACTGTATTACCAACAAACCTAGAGCTTACTACTGTAACTATGATAACAGCATCCATTTTATACTTATTTTAATGTTACCTTTTCCTTTGACTCCATCTTCCTCAAGCTCTTTTCCAGCTTCCTTGTCACAGTTGATGCATCTTTGTACAGTTCCTCAAAACGATTCCTCTCCTCCAGAATCTTCTGCAGATTCTGTTCCATATCGTGCAGTTGTGACATGAGTTTCTGTACGTTTTCCCCGTCATCAGTAGTCTTCTCATTTAAAAGCGTGAGTTCTTGTTCCAGACGGAGAGCTCGTTCCTTTTCTTTTGACAAATCTTCCTGCAGTTCCCTTATCTGGAAAATTACACAACACGTAAGTATTATTTGTGGAAATATTATAAAAGTAACTATCAAGATAATCTGTTAAAAAAGTTAAAACCTTAACATAATAATATATCTGACTATTACAGAAAAAAAGATTAATGGTAGTTAGTTGTTTATGTTACCATGTTCCATTCGGATCTATGGATATGGTACCCTTTTGTTGGTGCACCAATAAGAATACTAGTTTTTTGAAGGAGCGAGGTTTAGTTTACCTAAAAAATAAAGTCCAATAGCATAGAATAAAAAAAGGTTCCTCAACACAATATTAATATTTTATAACTCATTAGAGTAATTTTCTCATTATTTTGAATTAGTTTATTTTTGTATGCATTAATTAATTGTTCTGCGTTGGTATGGTGGAATAAATGTCCAACACTTTATCTTCACACAGGTTTTAAAGACACAACAAGCACTGTTGTTAGACAAGAAGGTCCATTACTTGGTTCTTGGCAAAGGTTTCATTATTCAAATTTCATCTGAAATCGTTTGGTACGGCTCCAAGGAATTTGAATGCTGGTTAGTATTTAATAAGAATTAATGATTTGGCACCAATGGTCTTATGGAAAACAAAAATAAGTTTAAAAGACAAAGCTAGCTACATCTACTTGTTCGAGTTTGGTTTGTACACTGGTTAACATAAACACCCTTTTTAGTCCTGAGATTAATTACATGAACTTGGCTCGTCAAAATGAAGAGTACTGCTAATAAATACAGCTGACTTCTTTTATTAGTTTTAACTTACGCAATTGCAAGGATATACGCTTTACTGATTAAATTGATTGAAATCATCAAGCAGTTCAACAAAATAATCCTCTATCAAAAAGTTAAGACATTGAGCTCCCTAGAGAAAAAGGTAAACATTTTCAAAGTCTCTGTTAACTAGTGGCTGATTCTTTTATTGGAAACCCCTTCTTTTTTGTTCATCATTAAAGATTTAAATTGTCAAGGATTGCACATTTAACTGACGAGATAAGTTAAAACTTTAAGGATTAAAACTCTTTTACAACATCAAATCTTGAGAAAAAGAAAGAACTGACAAAGGCAGGTTTGAACACTTTTATAAGTGTTTCAACTTTTTAAACATTGTTTGGACAATTCTAAAGTTCAATGTTTCTAAAATTAAATAAACTAAATTCCAAAGCAATATGTACATGTTTTATCTTCATACAAATTTAAAGACATTGTTCATGAGGAAAAGATTCTGATGTCTTTAACCGAAGAAAAAATATTTACAAAGTTAAGACAGAGAGATACAGCAATCACATAGTATCTAACTTCACAGATAGCATTTCCTCCACAAACTAGATTATTTTTTTTTTACTTTGGACAAATGGTTTAAAAAGAATTTCTTGTTATAAGTTGTGGTTGTGGACTAATGTGGGCCAAATTGTTGGTTCCTTGTCCTCAGGAAGGTAATGTTTTCACCTGTGAGGCAGCCGGTCCTTAATTACTTCTCAACTGAGTTCACACTAAAGGAGACTAGTGAATAACAAATATTTTTTTAACTATTAAAAATACAAATAAAATAACCCAAAATTCTAGTTCTTCTAAAGATTTATCTTATGTGATACAGAATTTGACACAAATCAGTCAACGTTCAGCATTTTGATACGATACTTGTAGCAGAAAAAATTATATTGACCGATCTAAATTAAATTTGTTACGAAATTAGGTAACATAAATGTTTGAAGAGACCACAAGAATTTTATAAATTCTTTATTTTTTTATATAGGGCTCCCAAATGTGAGTTCCGTTGAGCAGAAGTAAAATAATAAGCCATAGCACCTGTGAACAATACCTTAGAGCACAGGCCCAACAGAAAGTTCCACATTAGCTGGTCCATGACTATAGTAGCATAGACAAATAGAATAAATATAGACCGACAGCAGTGCTGCGGTTAGCATATGTTCCGGCGTCCACCGCTAGGAGTGCCGTGTAGTTACAGCGCACACCGCTGCAACGTCTGCTGGTGGCTCCTGCGCTCCTCGCCTGCAGCGGTGTGCGCCGTAACTACATCGCACTCCTAGCAGCACATCACGGAACCTTCCTTTGACAGTCCATATTTATTCTATTTGTCTATGATGGTAGGATCCTACTATCCCATTATATTTTTTAAGTAGACAATCAAAGTTTATTGTTAAAAAAAAAACAGTTCACACTTTTCAACAATTAGCACTACAGTACAAAACTAATTTATTCCAACAAAAACAAAACACTTGCCTTTTCCTCGAAGGTGGAACCGGGTTTGGAGTTCAGTCCGAATGTGACAGTGTACAGAGCGTTTGTATCGTCAAGATGTGGTACAGACGTCTCCATGAACCTCTGGTGATAGTCTCTTAGCTCCTAAAACATCACAACATTCACAACACAAGATCATAACTCAAAACATAGTCTGATAACTCTCCATGGGGTGCAAGTTTATAAAAAAAGACCTAAATGCACTATTTTTGTAATTACTGGAAGGAGAAAGCAGGCTGTGGTAGGCCCTCGCAGATACTCCTCAGGGAGAGGTTGAGCCATGGTATGGCCGTGGTGTCGCGGAGTTTGTTTCAAGCTGCTCATTAGAGTAAAGGAAACTGTTCCAAGATCGGTCATTTTTACCGAAGGGCCAAACACTTTTAGACTCACCCTTATTCCTAAACTCTCTAACAATATGAATCTATAAACTTTAATCGGTAAAGGTGATTTCTTGCAAACACTACTCATTCATTAATAATGGATGGATTTTTACGAATGATGCGTTCAGATCTATTATTCAGACTATGTAATTGAACTAGACAGAAAAATATGAGTAAAACACAAAAAAATAAAAACAAATTTTCGTTACCTGTTCAAAAAGGTTTTAATAATATTTGTATTTACATACAAGACAAATTAATTTGGTAATATATGGACCAGTACTAAATTCAGTAAACATTATTTTTTGTAGTTCCTCTCAAAAAATCTAGTGTCCCTGAAGACGCAAATAGAAATGACATTCCCCAAATAACTTGTTTGGGTGAACAACCTCGGCTTGCCATTGGCTGCTGTAAACTAAAATAAGAAAACTAGTGTAGAATGTTCTGGGACATCAGAACTTCTTAGTACTGTAAAAGACTTAAGTTTGGGAAGTGAGAGTAATTTTTTGTTGCTTTAATGCACCAATATTTTTAAGAACTACCAAATAGGCCTACTACAAAATAAATAAAAAAGTTGTATAACTATTTCCTATCTTTAATTGTTGTAAATCTCCAATCAAACAACATATTTCTAGGTTTATTAATAATTTCTAAATAGAAGTGGATCGAAAGTTAAGCTATGTTGCGGTTAAGTATGATGAAATATTTATAAATTACTACAAGACACAGTCAGCAGACAGAAAGCATGGATTTGTTGGCTCTGCACATCACAGTTCACAGCAAAATTAAATTATTATCATTGTCATTATCATCTGTTAATTTAGATGTGGACACTACTACTTTTGGTGCACATTTTAACCCAAATATGAGTCAAGGATAAGTGTAGAATGGAGTGAGATGATATTTCTAGATTTGTTACTGCCCAAGTTTAGCTGTTTCATCATTATTTTAAGCCCTATGATCAGTAAGGGCTAGGTCCAGTTTCAAACCATAAAAAAACACACTTTTCTCAGGATCAATCTGGCAACCTTTTGATTGCCAAGCGAGCACTATGACCACTCAGCTAGCCAGCCAGGGTATATTCTCCTGAAATATTAAGGACCTTTCTGAAAGATCAGGGATATTCAGGAGTTTTTAACACCTGACAACAACAAAATGGCAACTTAGTACTTAATAAATAAATATTTTTCAGGATCAAATAAGTTTTTAGGTTTAAGGCGAGCTATACAGGGTGGAAAAAAAGTCCTGAGATGGTTAAATATTTCAAAAAGTACTAAATATAGAGCTTTTAAACTTTGTACACAGTTACTCAGCATTAAGATCATTTTAAAACATTATTCAAAGATGCCCGCCTCCTCAGGAGGCCCGCTAGGAGTCAGAAGAAAATCTTAAATGAAAGCAAAGGTTGACATGCACACCAAATTAAAGGTCTTTGTTACAGTAGGACCTCAATATCTCGAATCTGAAGGGGTTATGATAAAAATTCGAGTTATCAAGTTTTTCAAGTTAGTGAGGTTCGAGTTATGAAGGTTCCATATGAAAAAGTTCGAGATACTGAGGTGTTGGGGTCTGACAGTGATGTTACGTCATGGCCTTTATAACTCGACTTATACATGTTAAACCTTAATAATCGAACTCAAACTGTATTTATACGTAACTTACTGAAGAGTAACTTTGGAAGCAAAATACCCCCGCCGCAGCAAACCTGCCGACCAAGCGAATTTCCATTTGTCTGAATTGATTTTCAGTTAAATATATTTTAATAACATTAGGTTTAACGAGTACCTAGGTTTGCTGCTACAAGGAAACTAATAAAGTGTGTTTTTGAGTAAAATATTGATAGCTTAGTACAAAATAAATAAATTTGCCAAGTTTGATCAAAATATATCCATAAACAAGCAAACTACAACATTTGACAATATTCTCCATAAGATTAACATGGGAATTTTAAATTTACAATTTTTTTTATTTTCTCCGTTACTAATAATCAAACAAAAATACTTTTACATACTAAATTATTTGTTTTTTTAAGCTCTTTAAAAAGGTCTAAAGAGAAATCGGGAAATTTTGTGTTTTGAGGGTCAAAAGTGAGAAAAACCAATTTTTACCCCATAAAACCCCCCATAAAGCCCCGTTCCCATGGTCCGATCGTGCTGGTTCGCGAACTCATTCAAGTTTATCCCGCTTTACACCTTTAAACCAAATTTCATCAAAATCGGACAAAAATTACTCAAGTTATCGCGTTCACGGACGTATATATATATATATATATATATATAAGTCTATATATATATATATATATATATACATATATAAAAATTTGAACGAATAGTGTTTTTGGCCTCTGGGGACATCAAAATGAAAAAGTAAATCGGTCCCGGGTCTAGGTCTTACCGTGCCACCTACGGTAATAGCTACTTCCCTATAGGGAAATTCGCTAATAAAACAATTTGAATGCACATAAAGTACTGTATTTATTATTTGGCAATAAGTTTGATAAAGTACATAAAAAACATGTTAAATGACAAAAAAAATAGTTTAAATACTGTACAAAACAATAATACAGTATATATCATCCATACACGGAACTACATTTACTGTGTATAATGTTTGATTAAAGCAAACGTTAGTCAACCTCTTTATATGTACTGTAAAAACAAGCTAGGTACTGTAACAACAAAAATACTGAATAGGTACAATACTGTACATACAAAAAGTATGTAGACTGTAGAGAGTAATATTTAAAGGGAAAATTCTAGTGTGATTAAAATAATAAACAAAATGCATCGTAATGTAGTTAAGTACTGAATCTACTTTGGCAAAACGGGTAAACTACACTGACTACAGTGCCTAGCCAAACAGACACGGGAAGCAAACACAGGAAGTTTGATTTTCACGTCTCGACAGGAATCACAACTGACTTGCACTGTTATGGCAAAACTTCGAATTATTGAGGCACATTCATGCGAACTTCGACTTATAAAGGTAAACTTCGAGTTACTGAGGCTCGATGACGGGAAAATTCGAGTTATAGAGGTAGAATGTTACTGTTCAAAAGTTGTTAAAATTCGACTTATTGAGGTTAAATATTTAGAAACTTCGACTTATAAAGGTACTTTTAACATTATGATTAATGTGGATTTCAAGGGGATTTAAAAAAAATCGAGATGAGGAATTCGAGATATTGAGGTTCGAGTAATTGAGGTTCTACTGTAGTAAAATATAATTCCACAAGCCCGAACTCAAACGACAACTGTGTAAAAAATGACAGCTTTTCAGATGCATTGCTATTATACAGTACTTTCCACTAGAAGTTTGAAGAAAATCATAAACTTAAGAATAGTTTGATATGCACATCAAATTAAAGGTCTTTAACCCTCAGAGTGTCCCTTGTTTTGGCCTTAATGTCTGCCTATTTTTAGCTCATTTGCAAGGTTTTATTAAAACGGATCTGAGAAGCTTAAAAACAATGCTAATTATACTGTTCTATATACCATTTTGTTTGGAAAATCATGGGCTTCAATGTTATATATCAAACATAATAAACATTTGTTTCAAAAAAATTTTTTAGGTAAAAAAAAATATTTTGGAAAATTTTCAAAAAAAAAATAAGTTTGCGCTCAATGAAATTGTATAAATTATAGGCCTATAAATATTTGAAAATAGCCACTTTGTTCTAAATTTTATGAGGATTACAAATATATAATAATATAAGGAAGTAGATTTGCAAATAAATAAGTTATGGGCAAAAAACAGATTTCAGTACATAGCGTTTACAGTAGCTAAGAATGCATAGCCTAACCATAGCTAGGAATCTGGCTGATAATTTACATCAATATCACTACCTACTTCTTCAGGATCATCAACCAGCCCTTCAAAATCACTTTAATCTTCTTATAATGCACCACGTATATCACTACTTTTGATTTTTAACACTAAAACAATGATAAATATAATAAAACCCATCAGTCATTGGTCCGAGGGTAACCTAGCTGTTTACAAATACGCACGTCAGCTGTCTGCTACAATTACGATCGGCTCGGAGAACATACAGCGCTGAGACAGACCTCTGGAGAAAGCTTAGAATCTAACGAAAAGAACAATACCTAACTCGATCCAGTTCAATCCGATTCAGTCAGTCATAGAGCCTTCGCCGTAAATAGTGTTTGTGTGTCGCTGTAGCGACACTAAACACTACACAAAGTGTGTTATGTGTCGCTGCAGCGACAAATAACACTCGGAGGGTTAATAGAAGAATACGATGCCAAAAGATTGAGCTCAAAAGAACAATTGAGTAAAAATGGCAGCCGTTCAAAGATTCAAAATGGTAGATTCAAGAAATCTTGGAATGGCCATTTTTGACTCCGTGGTCCGTTTGAATTCAAATTTGTGGCATTGTATTCTACTAACGAAGATAACTTAATTAATTTGATGTGCATATCAACCTATGAAGCTACATTTTAAATTTTCTTCTAACTCCTAGTGGATCGTCCCCCTGAAGAGGTAGTGTATCACCGAATCATGTGTTAAAATGATTTTAATGCCCAGTAACTGTGTACCAAATTTTGAAGCTCTATCTTTAATACTTTTAGTAATATTTAACCGTCCTGGGACTTTTTTTCACCCTGTATAACCACTCGGCTACTCTGGATTTTTCTTTCATAAGAAACAAACCTACCTTTTCAAGGTTTTCTAGTTTGGCCTGAAGCTCTTGTTTTTCCTCAGTAACTGAGTCAAGTTGTTGCTTCTGGACCTCAAGTGCATTGTAAGAATCAGTCAAAAGACTTCCCAGCTCTTTCTTCTGGAGGTCATGTTCAACCTGAAACATTTGTTATGTTTTATAATCATTGCCATGATGCAATTTTAATATTTAAAACTCTCTATTTGTAAACCTTGGAATTGATAACAGTCTGTGATCAATTCAAATTTAATCTTTAATTTGTTAAATGTAGAGTTGAAAAAGTTGACTGTCCTAATTAAATTCCTTTTGAGTTGTCACATAGCTTTAAACTATTTATAATGGATATCTAGATATGAAAATACTCAACCTTAACCCTGCATCTGACAGTTACAAATGTCTGTCCTGAAGGCCATTTTTTTCTGTATGTACATAGGTTACTTTAGATCCGTATAAATTGTGTTCTACTAAAAATATATTCTTTTATATATTTTATCTTTCAGGACATTACAAGGAACATGTTTAAACCATTTACGGATCCCAAAAAATTGCGTAGAACTGTTTACTTGTAAGAACAAGAAAAAAGAAAATGGGCCTATAAAACATTACTCCAAAGTAGAGGCTTGGGAAAAATACAAAAGATTTTTTACTACAAAATCCAAGGTAAAATGGTTCTTTACATGAAAAAAGTAAAAAAAGTCATATTTATTATTATTTGTATGTAAAAAATATAAGAAAGAATGTTATGTCACATCACGCTAAACATGCAGTTGAGCCATTCTACGTTTTTATTTTCTACTTTCAATATATTGTTACATTACAGTAACTAAACAAACTATGTATCAAAATAAACTGTAGAATCTCCTGTGTAAAATTATATACATCAATATCTAATACAGGTGATGTTTTCTGTTGAAACTGAGCAGTTAATCAAATTGATGCTCAAACGACTAATCGTTGCCAGTGGAGGAACTAGTTTTGGCGTCTAGTCAATAGTCATTTGCCAGATGCAGGGTTAAGGACAGGGGTTTTCTAGATGATATCAGTATGTACAAAAATTATATGATAAAATAATATCTAGCTAGGTACTATAGTTTTCAATTATATCACTACAAAATAAATGTTATATCTAGAAGATCTAAAGAAATATCGAAAATCTGTCATTCAATAGGCCAGAGGCAGAGGTTTCACAACTGAACTTGTGACAGTTTTATATAAGAGAAATTTACACAAAATATATATTTATAGGTTAATTTGCAGATTTTTTTGGGATGTTTGACTACTCAAAGAACTAGTATTATCTTTGTATTTCACTAAAATGTTTCTATATTTTATTTTTAAGGTATCTTTGCATCTGACAAATGTTTATTTTTGAGTATCTGTTTGATGGATAGCAATATCCAGGAAGTGAAACAATCCCCTTAGGAGATAGGATAGCTAAAAGATTTCTTTTAATTCCTGGTAGATAATGACTAAGTATTTTATGATGCATTTTTGTTAAAAAAACTATTTTAGTTAGCCTACAGGGTTTGCTTTGAAACATAGGATGTCATAGCATAGGTATCAGTAAAACAAGACAGATTTGGTTTTTTGTTTATTTGTAATGCAGGCTCAGTTTTATTTTATATCAAAAAACAACCTAAAGTAAAAATATCTGGTTTTTTCTATCAAAGCCCCAGTGAAACAAACATAAAACTTAATATTTACAAGAGCATTAAATTTCAGTTAGTGATCAAACTTAAATTTTTAATTTTTGTAATTGGAATAAAATGGAAAAAAATAATAAAATCTACTAGATACAAAAATTTTAATAGGCTAATTGGTTTGTATAACTATGCCTAGTACCAATTTGTCAAATAAAGTTTAAAATGTCAACATTTTTAAAACAACATAGGTACCGGTATGTACAATGACTTCATTTTGGTGGCTGCTCCATATCTTTAACTCAAAAATGTAATCACTAACAAGATTACTACAGTGTTTTAATACTAAAAAATGTCATACCTTATCAAACACTTTATAAACTGACTTTTGTATAGAATTGACAAAACTACTCACTTTCAGGTTAGTATACAGTCGCCGTAACTCGTCCAAATCTTTAGGTAGGGTTGGGTCAATGCGCTCCTGTTCCAAAAAGTAAATTCTCACTTTCAAATTGAAATTTTCTTTCTTCAGACTGGCAAAATCTTCCTCGTACTCCTTCATAGTTCTTGGCAGTCCGGGAGACTTCATGACTGGGGATGTGGGGCTGAAGGGGAGTTGACCTGGAAAAATACAAAGTGGTGAAAAATTTGTGGCAAAATATGTGTGACTTTTAGCTAAGGTCTAATAACACTTCTTAAACAAAGTATAACACATCAAATGCAACTGAGATCAACTTTGAAAGACATCCAAACTTAGTATCAAATGATCATCTGTCAAACAGATATCACCTGGGATTTAACGCAGCTTAGGTTAAAATTGTAACGAAAAATTGTAACGAAACAATTGTACAACGTACAAACAATTTTATGTGTAGCCTATGTATATAAAATTAAAACAAACTAGATGAAAGAAGCCATGAAATGCTTAAGAAAAGTTTCACAGGAAGACTTATAGAAAAATAATAAAGTAGGCCTATTGGGGGAAATCAGAAAATATTTCACCAACCTTAATGTAAAGATCAATAAGAAGTGAATGTCTTTAAAATAGGCCTACCAGGAAGAACGAACAAAGTGGCCAAAACATTTTTGAGAAGCGGTTGGACAGATTTATGAGTGAGAATATAGATCCATTTTTCTATGGTATGCATAAAATGTTAAAAATGTTAAAATGTTAAGCACATCTGTTATGTCTATAGCATATTTACTAGATCAAATTGATTTTAAAATTCCCATATCAATATTATAGAAGAGAATAGTTAAACTGTTGTTGTTTGCTTGCTTATGGATATATTTTGATCAATTTACAAGGTAGGTAGATATATTTATTTCATACCAAGCTATAAACCTTTCACTAAAAAACACAATGTTTAATCTTCCTTGTAGCAGCAAACCTAAGTACTCAGTTAACCTAATACTACTTAAATGGGAAATATATTTGTCATGTCAAGGAAAATATTTGGGAAAATATTCAGGGAAGTTGAAATTTGATGAGTATGCAGGTTTGCTTTGCAATCATTAAACATCTTTAAGTCCATGTAATGTATAATTTAACAATGAATAAACTTAGTTTATCAAAATTAGAGGACCCACGCTGCTCCCCAGCGTTAAAATAAATATAGGCATAATATCGGAGAAATAATCAAATTTATGATTTTTGATTGAGTAATACAGGTACAGTATCTTGAGCTTAACTGATTCAAACGATAGCTCAAATATGGTTGGATTCACTTTTTCATAAGACAGACTCGAATGAATGCTTTCAGTTCAAGGCCAAGGCCAACGAATTTTATGCCCACCGAGTTCAAAGATGACATGATTAACAAGATAACGTGAATAAGTCTTAAGGTTCCAAAGAAGAAATGTGTAAAATACAAATATTATAATCAGTTTAATTATTAGTATAGGTACGATAAATTATCGTCTTATTACATCAAGTTTCTAAAATAAATATTCACAGAGTTTGGCGTGTTCGAAACGCAAAACCTAGATGTACCCCTAAAAATACTACCTACAGTTTGTTTCAAATGAACTCAAGATAAGTGATTCGATGTTTTGACCTCTCGTCTAAAATCGCCAAATCATTATACAATTAGGTAGGCCTATTGTTAATGAAATTATTATTTTTTAGAAGCTTGAAAGGAAAAGTTGCTTAACATTCCTTCTCATTTTATTCATTGAAAATTTCAAATAAAACAGTCCAAACCTTTTTAATAGGCTATCGTAAAATCTGTACTGTTTAGTCATCCTACAACATTCAACCGAAAAGCGTTTATCTATCTCCATTATCACAATTTCAACCCCAAAGTAGGAACTGCGTATTAGTGCATATTATTCTGCCGGTCCGTAACTATGTACCTATACCCTCATTAAACGCTCATAGCTCCATAAAAACGACAAAAAGCAAAAGCAACGATGCCCTCGTTAAAAATCCTCATAATCTGAAATCTGTTTCAATAGTGAACAGATTATTTTTGCATTGAAGTTCCACTTTCAAATGAGTACCCAAACTAAAAATGCTTTCGTAAAAGATACAAAATTAAAATTGGAAAAAAATCACTATGAGAGTAAAATTTGAGGCAACTTAAAATTTTAAAAACCCTCCAAACATACCTCGCAGTCGCAGTCTGTGGCAAGACGCAGTCTCGTACCCAGAAGACCCCGACTCGGACATGATGTGTTGGGAGTATACGACGACGCCCTAGGAAGTTAACTCTACAATGTAGGACCTCTGTCACGGACCACTGGCCAAATACAATCTGAAGAAATACTGTCTAAACACCGATATAACTCGCCGAATAAACTACAAATTTGAATATCAGTAGGTAAGAAACGTACACAACAACTAAATTGTTTAGCCATGTGTTGTTTGTATTTGCCATGTGTTTTGTTATTTTTTACTAGACAATAAAATGCAAATGGTCAAATGAAATAGGCAATGGATTGATTGAGTATAGGTTTAAGCACGAATATTAGCACGGAAACGGTATGGATCATAAACATGAAAAAACCTCATTGGCCATATGCCTATTAAATAGCTGTATCATCTAGTTTAACAGTTCCATTTAAATCATTAAAAAAAACTGTTTTAGCAATCTGACACATCCTTTCTCCCGTTACGTTAGCTTGTAAACAATCTTTAATATGAGTAAGCGGTGGGAGTAACTATGATAAGTTATCGGGAAAATCACAAAAGTTGCAATAACTTTTAAGCCGTAATTTTCACAGCAATGGGTGGTTGCACTATTTTGTTGAGAATTCCTAGTCTATGAGAAAAGGTCCAACCTTTACACTCGGGAGATGTATTTGGTAGGTACCAATTTGAAAACCATTGAATTTAGATAAGACTTCAATCAGTCGTATGTCGTATCATCCTTCTGTAAGTCTGAAGCCTCTTTCAAGTATGTTGAATATGCGATACATTTTGAAGAGCAATTTTTTATGACTTTTTTTTAATATTCCAGTAACAGCTGATGTTATCTAATTTACAATAGATCAATGGTAAAACTTTGAACACAATTAGTCTAATACCGCGCAAAACTGGGTTTTTGAGTGTTCGTTTTTTTTTCAATTGACGTAGGCACGTTTTAAATAATTAAAAACCTTCTCATACATGTAGAGAACACATAAAAATAGTTTCTTCATTATCTATTTTGTCTTTTTTCAGGAGAAGGCCGTGTAAAATGTCTTTTGACAATCAGACAGGCAAAAATTGAGATAAGACTTGTTTCGGTTCTTTAATAATGTACAAAACGTAAAAATAACAAAAAATATAAAACGTAAAAATAACAAAAAATATATAATTCTGAACAATGTACAGACAAAACTCTAATTTAATTTATACAAGATTAAAAAATATATGTTTACTCTGTTCTAATATTACGGGCGAACGTAGACCAGTAGACCTCAGCCCTCAGTATTTGCGTGTTGTAAGTAGCGGTCAGTTACGCTCCAATACGGACTGCCAAAAATATTTTAGGATTCAAAATTAATATTCATAATCTGCATCATACCGTAAACAGCAGTAATGCACATAGAAGTCATCTTCTCTGTGAGAAAAGTTCAACCGTTTACTCGTGTGGAATATTTGCTACCAATTTGAAAACCACTGACTTTGATTCCCCGATCAGTCTCATTAAGTCTTTTTCAAGCGTGTTTAATATAATATACTATACGTTTAAGAGAGTAAATTCTCTCTGATATCAACTAAATATTTTTCTCTTATTGCAGGTTAAATCTTACAAGTCCTTTACGGGCTACAAAACTACAGGAAAACAAATAATCTAATCGATAAAGATAAACAAATCTAAAAGGAGTATGTTTGTCTAGTTTTTCCTGCAACCGCTTGTGAATTTGGTGGCAAATTTAATCATTATTCAATACTACGCTGTGTTTCCATACTTCAACAAACGTGAAACGTGCTATGGCATGGATACGTGGAGTTTTGTACATAGACATTGTCTAAAGCCGGAATATATTCACTTCGAAGACCCAACGCAAACAATTTCGAGCATAAATTGTCATTGGGAAGAGATTTAGCGTCAATATAAATAGGATACTGCTAACCTTATCAATTATCAATTATCAATCATTGAGATGGGGACGCCACCTGGGTGCGTATTTTAACCCAAAATATGAGTGAAGGATGAGTGTAGAATAGTGTGTGATGACCCGTGTAGCTTTGTTACCGACTAAGATCAGCGTAAAAAATAACTTTATGGCGGTAAAAAATAATTTATGCCATATTAAAGTTCGTTTTCAAGCTGTCCCCATCCCCATCATTGAAACAATAGCCTTGTCAACAATGAACAAAACTATATTTAGGCCTATTCACGTTATGTTTTCTAACCTACCAATACCAGTTATCAGTGTTATTTAACAGTTTTTGCGAGGGAACGGTCCAAGCCCAGGTCTTGTTATTATTCTAACATCGATCTTTTGCTAAATATCATCATTAATCGACAGACCAGTGACATACAGCGACTGGGTCTGGAATCGAACCAGCGATCTTCAGATTTGAAGGCGAGCAGTATAACCACTCGACAACCCATACAATGTTGCGTGGTCTCTTTTCGTGTAACGACACATGTATAATATTATAATAATAATTATAATTAGTAATTATAATAAATCTATATAATTAATACGCTACATGAAACTTTGTCGGTTGAACTCCTCCGTCATTTCTTAACCGATTTTATCCATTGACGTCTCATTGGAAAGAGCGTGTCGCGTAGATTTGCAAACTGGCCTTACATTTTTGAAAAAGTCCCTTGGGCTCTGCCCCAGTGGCTTGGAAAGTTCCCATGTTATCCTTATGAAGAACATAATTGTTTACATTTTGATCAGCTGTATAATTTAATTGCTGTTATTTATTTTTCAATTCAATGAAACGTTTTTGGCACACTTACTTATTTTGTTGAAATTAAATATTTACTATTTTAATTTACATTCGTAAATATTACAATGTAAAAAATCGAGAAAACCTGGACCATTTGATATATTTTACGAAATAAGAAAAATGAGTTGACATAGTACTGTATTTCTTTAAAAATCATTGGAAGAACCGATTTGTTAACCATGAAAATATAGCAAAGTCATAGAACGCAACCAAGTAGAAGAAATAGAGATTTAAAAAAATGTACTATCGTTATCATCCTTTATAATGAAGAACACCTATAATATGAAGATTCACACAAACAATGAACAAAAATTTTAGCCTAAGTGCTACTATTTTGTAGGAAACACGAAATACAGGCCTAACTTTATGATGATTGGCAAAGGAAACCCCTCTAAGGCTGAATTAAACTGGTACGGCAAGGACATTAAATCTATGTTTTCTTAAAAATAATATGACTACATAAGAAACCTTAATAAAACTTTCATTGAAGGATTCGCATTATTCACATTTAAGGGAAAACAAAAAACATCTGAACATTAGGCCTTTCAATTCTGCATTTTTTCAGGTAAATATAACTTACGTTAACAGTAACTAGCCAAATTAATGCCAATTGAAGCAAATAAAATTGTAACAAGAGGTTATGCAGAAAATCAGGCAGTTCTTAAGTAATGTAAACAAAATGTTATCGCAATAAAAAATTACTAAAATTTTTAAACGTAGGTACTGGCGACAATGGGTAGTACCATGCAGACTTCATTATCATTGACGAAGATGAACATGGACAACCTAATGCGGATATAAGTGGGCAGCATTTGTAGAATACACTTAAAAACCAGATCAGCTTTTGAAAAATGATAAAATATTTAAAAGAAATGTTGATTATATGGAACTAGGTACGTAATCTATGAGTTGAGTCTTTTAAACTCATCGGAAATTATGACTTTTATTCATTTTTAAATTAGTTATTAGTTTTTTTAAATAACTACTTTACTTCTTTGCAATTGCTCGATTTCGAGCAACATGTTCACTAGTTAATAATATAATAATACATTGTGTACATCGATGGTCAGCCTAGCTACTGTAGGTGTCCAGCTTGAGAGTGTGTGGACTAGTCAGTAGTCAGTGTATATTTTTAACCCTCTCTTCCCAGACGACTGGCCTACTCCAGCCAAACACTAAATGTCAATACAGTAGAAATAGATGGGGAAGCCCCAAGTGTTAATTTACGCTACACTTGATTTCCGTACTGAAGAACAAAAAATTAAGAGATCCATTGTTCACTTTACAGTAATAATTTTATGAATTGAAAAAGTGAGAAATTTATTATTAAGGGTAATACGTAATACTTAAGTTATGTTTATAGATTAATTGTTAGTTAGAGACAGCATAATATTGTTATTGCATACGTTTTGGAATGGTAAATGATATTGTTTACCGAAGTTAATGATTATACATTGCATATCTCAAAAATCTGTACTCTTATGTTGTACTGTAATGACCACACCGGGTTAGGTTAGGTAACCAAATGGAAGTAAATAAAAATGTATTATTTAATGTGCAAATAACCTAACCCAATTTGACCTAACCTGGTGTGGTGAATATAACAGGTAGATATAATTTGGTGTGGTATATGAGAAGAGTGCCCAAAATTCCAATTAAGGGGTTGTTTCATAATTGGAGTTAAGTAATAATTAATTGTTATTAAAGAACAGTTTAGTTATATATATTACATTTAAAATATAAAAAAATGGTTTTACTACGGATTGCACTTAACAACAACAAAAACACTAATGTTTATTTATTGTTCATCATAAAACCAAACTAAATCTTAAATAAAATAATGAAGCAGAAATTATTTAAATACTTACGTGTGTCAAACACAGGCAAGGGAAGGTCAGCGAGATTATTAGGGAATGTCCTGAAACAAACAGCATTATTTTAACATCTACTAATCACACTAACGTAGCTGCCATACATATTTTTATAATCTCCCTCAGGCGTACCTGTATATGCTCACATGGAAGAAAATTGATATGGTCTTCGTAAATATAACGAGAAAATCTCGCATTACAAGTGGACTTTGTTTTGCACTTGTGTGGGAAGGAAGAACTCATGGAAATGTTATAGGGGAAGGTCTCAGATCAGTCTGTGGGTCTGAACCTCGTTCAGTGTGTTGTTATTATATGTCTATGCGTTCAGTAAATGACTGCCCTTTTCGAACACTACCGGGGCTCGACTCAGCCAAAATAAATGAACCAGCGTCTACTACCACAAAAGTGGCAACGCCGCAGTACCGGCCTAACAGCTGTTGCACTACTTCATTAGCTTCTGCGCAATGTTTATATGTACACGTCAAAGAACGAACCAGAACCATTTAAACTGTAAGTTGAAGTATACAGAAAAATGTCTGTTCGTTTAGTATTCAACTGGATTTTCTGCAAACAGATGATTTGAGAGGCCCGCGAGTGGGGAGGGGGTTACTAGATGAGATACGCTCGCCCCCGCACATCGCACAGCTGATGTGTCACACATCCTCTAATGAGGAAATGGTTGCACTTAGCCACTCGCTGGCCACTGCAAGGACTGAATCATTACCGCCATGTCTGGTATTAAGAGCAGACTTCATCTGTACGCGCCATTTTCTACAACTCGCAAATCAAGTCCAAAAGATCGGCTCTGATGCATTTTGCCATAATGTCAGCGAAAGTCGCGTGTAAGGTTGTAATTCGGCATAAAACAAAATATAATTCGCGTTACAGTGATTCATTGATTCATTTTATTAGTTAAGTTTTTCATTAATTAAAAATAATTGAACGAACTTTGTTTCCTTCGATATAACAGTTAATCCAGTTCTTTGTACTTTTTACATCACATGCATGTTTTCTATACATGTTTAAACATTTATATGAACGTTATCGGCATAAAACCAATATTTTACATTGTAGCAATTCATTCATTCAGTTAATACGTTCAGATTTTCGATTCATTAAAAATAATTGAATGAACTTTGTTTCTTCCGATTTAAGAGTTAAGACAGTTTATGTTTGTACTTACCAATCACAAGAATTGAGCTTTATCCATATTAAGAAATTCACTTAAACATTATCAACTATGCTCAGTTTATTAGATCACTTCTTCATTCATTAAAAAATAATATTGAACCGTACTATTTATTCCTTTATTCCACAGTTAAGACAGTTTTTTAAAACGTTTTTATTAGGTCGCTTTCTTGTCCGCTACAAATTTTGCAACCGATTTTATACTAACTTCCCGATGAGCTAGGGACTTTAAACTTGAAACATATCTCACAAATGGAAGACAATGCAATATTATACAATTTAATTTTCATATTTCCCTTGGGCTACGCCCCATGGGCTTGTTTTTATTAAATCGATTTCTTGCAAATTTTGATACTTCCCGATGAGCTAGAGACTTGAAATTTGAAACATAGCTCACAAATGGATGACATTGCAATATTATATCATTTAATTTTCATATTTCCTTTCGGGCTACGCCCCATGGGCTTGTTTTTATTAGCTCGCTTTCCTACAAATTTTGATATCAATGTTAAACGATGTAACCGATAAGCTAGAGACTTGAAATTTGAAACATAGCTCACAAATGCATGACAATGCGATATTATATCATTTAATTTTCATATTTCCCTTGGGCTACGCCCCATGGGCTTCCAAATTTTTCATGTTTACATTTTGAAAGGATGTAAATATATCAACTAATTTAAGTCAGCTGTAAATACTTAAATTTGACAGTTCAAAAAGCAGAGGTTATGAGGTACAGGTTCTGCTCCCAAGAGATTCTTTATACAAACAAACATTTCAAAATAAAGATAAACAATCTGATTGCAGATATAAAGGAGTTTGTTAATAATGACATTTGTTATTTATTTAGTATTCTATAAAGTAAACAATAAATCAAATAGATTGATATATTTATAGTTACTAGGTAGGCCATACATGCAATCTAATACATAATTATATGCAAAGAAACTCAAATAAACCTTAGATTTCCCACATGCCTCTGTCTTAATCTGATATAGACGCTTGAAATAGATTTAACATGCACACACATTAAAACTAAAAAGTATGAAATAATTTATAAATAAAAACTTTTTTAAACAAAACGTTTTTAAACGCCCTAAAAAGTAGAAAATAATTTACAAATAATTTATAAATATGTTGAGAGAGTATAAATACTTGTACGATTTAAAACGAAAAACGTGGGGTGCATGCAATAGATAGTTTACAATTACCTTCACCTACTGAACTAATGTATTATTATCAATTAATTGCATGCACCCAACGTTTTTCGTTTTAAATCGTACAAGTATTTATACTCTCTCAACATATTTATAAATTATTTGTAAATTATTTTCTACTTTTTAGGGCCTTTAAAAACGTTTTGTTTAAAAAAGTTTTTATTTATAAATTATTGTACTTATCAATCACAAGAACTGGGCTCTATCCATGTTAAAACATTTACCTAAACATTATCAAATATCTACATTTATTTAGTCCGGCGTTTACATCTTCGGCTCAGATAACCTGCTGGAAACTTCCCAAACTAATTGAAACGTTCGAAACAGACGCAGCCCTTTGACACATCTTGACGTCACTTCCTCCTCATAAACAAAAACCATGACGAGGAAACATATCTCAATCAGTCCAAGATTAGATGACAATAATGAACCTTGTATGATGCCGAGTGCGGCGGAGCGAAGGGTTCTGGTTATTATTAAGCGGAGCTAAAATAGTCCCAAATTCGAGGGCTGTGTGGGGTCTGGGGTGTAGGGAGGATGCAGACGTGTGCCTCTAAACTTTACTTCCGCCCACATCTGCTTGTTCCGCACTCTCAGCTGGTACAAGGCGATGGTCCACCTTTTGGGGTTCGAGATGGAGATTGAATTTCGCTTCCGTTTTGATCCACTTAAGTCTTCATCACCTGTCCTCGAAAAAAAACAGCTGGTGGTATCAATAACAATGAGATGGCCGAAACTCGGTTGTAAAAGCTACAGAGTGTTTAGTTATGTCTGGGTAGCCGAGTGGTTTTAGCGTTCGCCTTCAAATCTGAAAGTCGCTGGTTCGATTCCAAGTAACCAAACCCAAATGTCATTTGTCATTGGGCTATGAATTAATAATCCTGCCTAACAAAAAGGTCGACGTTCGATAGTAACAACACCGTGGTTTGGAATGTTCCTCTCTGAAATTTAATCAAAGTAAATAATTCCAAAATGTTGATTGTGTAGGTAAATCTGTATTACAAAGTATTAAATTACATGGAATTTTAAAGATCTAAACTTTTTTTGCCTTACATAATAATGATGGTTAATCAATTAAATGGAATTTTGATTTTTGCTTCTCCTGGGGTAAGGACTGACACGCTTTTATAGACAAAAATACCCCCGCCGCAGCAAACCTGCCGACTAAGCAAATTTCCATTTGTCTGAATTGATTTTCAATTAAATCTACTTAAATAACATTAGGTTTAACGAGTACCTAGGTTTGCTGCTACAAGGAAACCACTGAGGTTTTTTAGTAAAATATTAATAGCTTAGTGCAAAATAAATAATTTGCCAAGTTTTATCAAAACATATCCATAAACAAGCAAACTACAAAATTTTACAATATTTTCCATAAGAATAACATTGGAACTTTAAATTTATAATTTTTTGAATTTTCTCCGTTACTAATAACCGTACAAAAACACTTGATATATACTAAATTATTTGTTTTTTAAGCTCTTTCAAAAGGTCTAGAGAGAAATTCGGAAATTTTGTGTTTTGAGGGTCAAAAATGAGAAAAACCAATTTTTACCCCATAAAACCCCGTTTCCATAGTCCGATCATACTGGTTCGCGAACTCATTCAAGTTTATCCTGCCTTACACCTTTGAACCAAATTTCATCAAACTCGGACAAAAAATATTCAAGTTATCGCGTTTACGGACGTATATATATATATATTTTTAATATTTTATAATATTTAATATTTTATATAATTTACAATATAAAAATTTGAACGAATGGTGTTTTTGGCCTCTGGGGACATCAAAATGAAAAAGTAAATCGGTCCCGGGCCTAGGTCATACCGTGCCACCTACGGTAATAGCTACTTCCCTATAGGGAAATTCGCTAAAACTACGTACGAGGTCTGGACCGAAGAAAATGCCATTGGCGTAGAAAACACAGAAAATAAAATAAGGTTAAAATGTATCTTCACTGAAATGAGTTTCAGATAAGCATTAACACAACAAAATATTGTTAGTAAAAATTCCTACATTTAATTTTAAATTAGCAATATACATTTAGTAAATACCAATAATTATAAGTTCGAGGTTGAATTGTTACGTAAATGTCAAAGACAATATTGCAAATTATAGTCACTTTTAAGGAAATTAATAAACCAAAAAAATATTTTTATCAGGAACAATGCCTAAGCGATCGGTAATGTTGGTGCAAACACTTCAATTGCAGTAAAAACATAGATGTCACTTAGGTCACATACAATATCAATATCAATTAGTTAAGATGGGGACGCCACTATGTGCGTATTTTAACCCAAATATGAGTGAAGGATGAGTGTAGGATGAGTGGCGCGATCTTGTAGTCTTGTTAGTGACTAAGGCCGACATGTTCCTTAGACACAGCTGTTAATTAATAGCCCATACAGCTAATGGCAACTAAGGGACCTACTGTTTATAGTGGAATCCGAACCACATTTTTCCTTGTAATTTACGAATTGGTCTAATTATCAGGATAGTACAGCGGATAGTCGTAGTACTCACTAGTGCGGACGTTAATCTACACCAGGGAGCATCGCATCCACAGTGCATCCCTATAAATATCCACAATTCGTGACCTCCTAGTAGCTGGATTACAGGACGACGCCACCCGTCCCAGTCG